TAACCTACTAATATAACTTCCTCCTTTCTAGGAGATAGCTTAGTTTAATAGTTATTAATATAATAATAAACTAATAAGCCCTAAGCTTTAATATTAGCTATATTAGGCTCTCTCCTATTTAATAATTTATATAGGGTTTTAAACCCTAAAGCCTTATATAGAGTCCTATTATATATATAGATAATAGCCTAGAGTACTTCTCCCTATAGATAATTAGGGCTTTTAGATTAAATAAGTACGGCTCTTACCTTATTAAATAGGGTAAGGTTAATTCTTTTAATTAGTCCGTTTAATTCCTTAGTATAACTAGGAGTAGTTATATAGTTAATACTATATCTAGATAGGGCTAATTAGAAATACTTATTAATATACTCTCTACCTTTATCGGTAAAGAATTACTTAATTTTCCTATTTTTAGTATTCTTTATTAAGGTCTTAAAATCCTTAAATACTTTATAAGTATTATCTTTAGAAAATAGTAAGGTAATCTAGAGATATCTAGATTTTTTATCTAGGAAAGTAATATAATATCTATATTTATTATAGGTAGGTAGTAGAGGTCTACTTAAATCACTATATATCCTATCTAAGATATTATACTTAGTAGGATTATCTGATTTCCTATATATATATCTATTATCCTTAGATAATAGATATACCTTATATTTCTCTTTAAGGAATACCTTAATATTATCTAGGGTTATATTAATCCCTAGGGCTTTAAATAGGATAACTTTTAAGGGCTATATATTTATATACCCTAATCTAATATACTACTATTTAATAGTATTAACTATACTATTATTAGTAATTTCTTTAGGAATATAACTATTAATACTAACTAGCTTACTAAGGTAATTAGTTTTAGTAGTCGTTATAGTAGTATTAATATTCCTTTTTAATATAGTAGCTTTTATATAATATAGGCTATCTTTCTTATTACCTATAGCAACTATTTTCTTTAAAGGTATATATAAATATACTTTATTTCTTATAAATAGAGCTATTAGATCTTCTAACTAGTATATACTAATAAGGTTAATACCTAGATTAGGTATATAATAAATATTCCTTAATAAGTATATATATCTAGTACTAGATTTTATATATATATTACCTTTATAGGTTGCTTTAATAGTATTAGCCTTACCCTACCTAACTAAGGTAGTAGTAGGTTCGTAATAGGAAAAGTATTCTAATTTATATATAGTACTAATAGTAGTAGTACTATTAAGAATAAAGTCTACTTTTTCTTTTATAGGGATTAACCCTATATTATCTAGTAGTATTTTAGTTAATACTATAGTACTATATAATAGGAGAGGATATACCTCTTCTACTTTATCTCCTATATCTAGTAATTAATTACTAGCTATTATAGAGGGTTAGTTTTTAATACTAGTATATAGTTCTTAATCTAATCTAATTGCTAGATTAGAGAGATTAGATAATATATCTATATCTTTAGTAGATTTAGGAGTATCTACTATATTAGATATAGTCTAATCTTATATTTCTTACTCTTTAGGAATCTTAGGGCTAGTCTTAGGCTTAGTATTTCTAGCTTTATATAATTCCTTAGTAGTAGAAATCGGGGGTTTTATAGTTATTTTAGCCTTTTTACCTTTCGGAACCTATCCCTTAGATACTAGATTAGGAAATAGTAGCTAGTACGTCTTAGTACTATAAGTAGTAAGTTTATAATACTAATAGTATCTTCCTTTTTAAGGGCCTATTTTTATATAACTTTTTATACCGGTTATTATACTTAAGTAATATAATATTAATATAATAACTACCTTTAGTAGTATATACTTCTCTACCCCTAGCTTTATTAATTAAGCTAGAGAATAGGGATTTAATAGTATATATATTAGGGTTATTTCGTAATAACTAGGTTATATTTTAAATAAACCTATTATAGTCTATATTAAGACTATTAAGAATCTAGGCTATAACTACCTAATTAGGTAGTTTAATACCTTTCCCTTTTAGGTTATCTACTAGGGTTTTAACCTTATTAAGATATTCTTCTATTAAATAAAACTTATTTAATATAGTATTAAAGAAATCTTTTAGGGTTAAATACTTAGTAGTAAAGCCCTTAGAGTTATATAGGGCTTTTAGACGAAGCTAGGCTTTATAGGTACTCTCTATATCTTTTAGATATAGTAAAGGTCTATCTTTATAATAAAGCTTTAAAATAGATATAGCTTTATTATTTTTTACGCTAGTAGAGGTAACCTCTATAGGCGTATATAGGTCCTCTTTTATTAGGGTAGCCTTAACCCTAATAGACTATATAGTATAATTATTAGATCCCCGTAGCTAGGGAAGGAATATCTTATCTAGCGAGGCTATAATAAGATATAATACTATATATATACTAAAGAATATATATAATAGTATAGTAATATAACTATATATAGTATATACTATATATAGTATATTAACGTAATACTATATACTAATAATAGTATATAATATATAGTACTATAAATAGTATATTAATATACTAATTATAGTATATCGGAGATCGTTCGGAGATAACTTAGAGATATCTCGGCTTCGATCTTATTTCGGTAATTGTTCGGAAATAACTCGGTTGACTAAATATTTCCTATTTAGGAAATAAGTAGTAAGCCGGGCTTATAACCTATTAGCACTTTAGCAGATATAATATTATAGCCTATAATTAGGTTATAATATTTTAGTAGGGAAGTGGTATTAGGTAATCTTTATAGCTTATATAATTATATTATATAAGATATAAAGGGTTATACTTAGCTAGAATAGGAATTAATATAAGAGGTAGAAGTTAAGTTGATTGTTATTATGCTTATATTATTATAACATACTAGCTAAGCAAGGAATTTCGATTCCTTATATAGCTAGTTAGGAGGCAATTATGAGATAATGTAATATCTCATAATATTATAATATGACTTCACTATATATGGCAAATATCATAATATGACCTCACTATATATGGCAGATGATAGTGAGTCATAATATAGTTTACCATATATCATATATCTAAGGATCACTTAGATAGTACCGGTAAAATATATATAGGCTCCTTTCCCATCATAATAACATATATATACCATAATATATATCCTATATATATATTATATAATACTATTATGCTAACAGTGTCGTTATCGTTATTTCGACTCGATATCTTATTAGTCCGTCTAAGTTATAGACTTTACCTATTATTTTATATACGCGTCGTCCGATTCGGTTCGAGTCACGCGTATAGAAACTTTACTCTCGAAGTGACTAGAGAAAATAATACTAGAGGTTAACGAGAAATAGATAGATTTCGATAACTATTAGTAGATACTGATACTATAACCGTAGGTCGCGGGATAGGCCGAGGTAACGACCTACTAAGATACGTTAGCCAATAAAAACCTATAATTCGTCAAAAATGATTGTTATGCTCTGAGTCAAGAGTAGAGGGCTGTATAACCTGATGATGGGACTAGCTACAATGATGGAGATACAGTTACCAATGATGGATTCTATTGGTTATGATGACTGACTAAGGGGAAAGGAGAGAGTAGGGGACGATGGGAGATAGCAATCATGGAGGTCCTGCGGCATATAGGGTCACGTGCCATATCACGTGACCACTGGATCCAACAATATATAAAGACACTTATTTATATATCTAGTTTAGTTCTTCGTCTTCAATCATATATTGTTACTTGTGTTTACCTTTTAGATTACTATGACTCTTTACTTGATTATAACTTGATAACACTCACGAGTAGACCAATACTCCGGTATAGATCTACTCGGCGCTCTACCTAGTATCAGTTCCTTGATCGCTTAAAAGGACTTAGGCTATAGTAAGGCCCTACGCGGCAATAGCTCAGTTGCGACCCGATCATTGACGTTGGACCATTCGAGGAGTATTAAGGCAAGTATACCCTGAACCCATCTAACCTAACTGTGACCAGTTAGCTAGTGCGTAACACCTAGTAGGAGAGTTTATTATAGGGAACGATATAATCACTATAATAAGTAACGAGTTATTACCTAGTAAGGTCGATATAGGGATAGATTACTTACTAATAAGTTGATTAATATCGATAAAAAGTAGAGTAGGAGATAAGACTAAGGAATAAAAAGAGGAGAAGGTTTTTTCTAAGGGGAAAGATAGGGGTATTTATACTTAGGTAGGTTTATTTACTATATTAACCGAGTAGATAAGAATAAAGAGAACTACTTACTAGAGTATAAAGAAAGTAAAGTAATATATACTTCGTAGTTCTCTCGCCTTCTAATACCCCTAAATAAAGTACTTATTAGCTACTTATCTTACTAGGTCTACTATATTACCTATTCGGGGAGCCTATATAACCTTACTTTTATAGCTTCCGGGGCGGTAAACTAGACCTAGTAGGGAGGGATATACTCCCGAGAGGTTTATAGGGTTTACTTACTCTCGGTGCCTAAGGCAGCCACTTGCTAGATACCTTAGGACACTACTTCTTAGCACTCGGCTAAGTCATTAGTAGCGAGTGCCTATTACTAAGGGGTTTTCTCTAGGCTAAGCCCTTGCTTGGCGCTGATATAATATATTCGGTATCTAGCTAGTAATTACTACTACCCAATAAAAACCATGCGATCCTAACAGAATCTCAGGTATTAGATCTAGTAGTCACGTGGTATTGTACGTGACCCTATATACCGTAGGACCTCTATGATTGCTATCTCCTATCGTCCCCTACTCTCTCCTTTCCCCTTAGTCAGTCATCATAACCAATAGAATCCATCATTGGTAACTGCATCTCTATCATTGTAGCCTGTCCTATCATCAAATATGCGGAACCGAGGAACGGATTAACAAATTCGTTTAGAGTAGCGGCTGGTTTATGGCGGCGAACCGGCTTTTGGCCCGAATTCGAGGTCCAAACCGGTAGAAGATATAACTGTTTCACAGTTAGCAAGATAATGGTTGTTGCTCCACTACACTCATGAATCACTCACGGCAATGGAAGCATAGCGACCGTCAAAAAGGCAAGTAAAGATGTGGCCCACTGGTATCCAAGGGCCTCATACACTGTAAAAGAGAGACTATCAGCCATATGCTAAACTTCTCTTTCTAAAGGAAAGAGGAAACCTACTTTGGATACCAAAGAGAGGGAACGCAGCGGCAAAACTGCTTCGAAGGAACGCATTGGCCGCTAATGCACTTGCTGCATACAATGGATACGCATCGACGAGAAAGGTGATCACGCCTTGGAAGACGAGAAAGACGCTAAATCTACTATCAGTATAGGATGTGGCATTAATTTGGGAGATGAGCACGTACCCGAGACCGAAAAAGACACTTCCAATAATTGGCATAATCCAATGAATCTGCATATTGAGCTTAGTAAGATATGTTGACGGAAATGCAAAATTTGTACTCACCGATGCTGTGCTGCTCCAGCCAAACCAAAAGAGGCCAATCGTGATAAGAGGAGCTCCAAGAATTGCGGGCGGAAGCCGGTACTCGGGAATTATCTCCTTTCCATCCGGTGAGTGTTTTTGAACCAATCTCTGCAAATTCCATCCCCAGAGAGGATTGAGGAAGACGCCAAGAAATGTGCCGACTAGTTGACCGAGGAAAGTCAACCCGATTTGCCATAGATTGAAACCGTACAGGTTGGAAAACACCAATGGGAAGGCACCAAAGAAGAGGTATAAGGTTCCGATGATGACTGCAGTGTAGAGGCAAAGACACAGACACATTGGTTCCAATAGCAGTAATAGAAAAGGACGGTACATGGACCTCAAAAAGACCTTCTGCATTGATAGCGCCCCAGGCTGCACAGGTGTACCACTTTTAGCTGAGGCGGCTTGCAAACGGAGTGCTTTTTTGCGTAGAAGTACTGGAGCGTAAGTTTCCTTCATGAAGAGGAGCATGACAACCCAAAGTGAGGCGCTCCAGATGATGATGACATAAAACGACCAGCGCCTAACCATTGATAAGTGTTATGTCAAAAGGCATTGGTAGCGGGTCACCTTGCTTACCAAGACGTGAATGAGTTGATGAATCCACCAATGAGTGGTCCGAGGACTGGACCGGCAAAAGGTGTTGCGGTGTATATCATCATTGGAAGCTGCAATGTTTCACGGGTGAACAGGTCGCCGATGGTTCCTCCAGCCACGCTTTGGAAGGCAGCACTTGTCAGGCCACCGAGCATTCGGCCAGCGAGGAGAGTTCCGAAGTTATTAGCCACTGCACATGGAATAAGCCATATAGTGAACAGGGCTAGGGAAGCAATGTATATAGGGCGTCGTCCATAAAACTGGTAGATCTCAGTCTCCATTTAACAAGACAATGGTGAGAATAGTGGATTACCTCAGATATCGGCGCAACAAACATGGGCCCAACGCCCATGCCAAAGATGAACAGGGATAGTCCTACTGTGGCGACTAGCTCTGAAATATGGAACTGGACTGTGATCTGTCCATAGATGGACGAGTACAATGCCGAGGTACATGTCCTGTGAGGTCGAAACTAGTTAAGCTTGGCAATTCCTGGCAATGCTGGACGTCACCCGGGGCTGAAAGCTTACACACAGAGCGAACTGAAGGAAACAGTAAAGACCATAACCCATTTTCGCCAAAGGGCAAAGTTTTTAGGGTTTTTTGGATCATCTGGTCCATCCCAGTCGGCAGTGATCACTACCGACGGATTATTGACACCGCCAACTGTCTTGTCGCTTGACGAGTTCGAGGCAGACAACGACATCGCAGATCCAAGACACGCTTATTAAACCCACACGTATTATTTTCGTACTACATGGAGACTACACATTGATATATATCTAGAAACTTATATTTTGGACTGATGGATAAGTCGGCTCAGAGTCTGTCCTATTGAAAAAAATATCGTTGATATGAATAAGCCCAAAGGCCTCAGGCTACTTTTCTTTCCGCTTCCGCCTGCCTGCACTGTGGAAGCAGCTGGGTAACAAAGGGGGAAATGGCCAGATGACAAATTATGGAAGCGGAAGCGGAACCAAAAAGGGAGAACAGAAATGACGTATTTTGGAAGCGGAAGCGGAAATGAAAAGGGAAAACTAAAATATTGGCCATGATTATTAAACCAGCTCTTGTTCCCCTTCCGTTAACCGTCCATAGCAGATCAAAGCTGTTATGATGGGGCGCAGATGATTTTCAAGCCGGTGAAGAGTGGACCCGTGAACGGCCAATCTCTGTGGGTGGGTAGTTTCCTGGAATTGCACATGGCATTCCAAAGCAAAGTTCTGAAAGGTTTACCGCCGTATAGGCTTATTATTCCTTGAGAATTTTGCTTATAATTGCTACTATAAATTTCACTTGGCTGGAATGCGGCCCGACTGTCGATTACCTGTTTCCTTGAACCTCCAGAATAACCGTAATCGTGCACGGTTCATGAAGGTCCAAGCATTGAAGAGAAAGCAGACAAGAGAAAACTGCCCCTGCCTAGTAAGGAAATAGCTTTCCCATAACAACAAGAGCAAGAGGTTGGGATAGCCCTAGGTAAAATCCACCCCACGTAAAAGTAGACCTGATGCTTGGGTTTTCAGCCACCACAGTAGCCAAACATCATTTCCTACGACATAACTAGTATCAATCAACCCCTAGCCGCTGGATTATTATCGCAAAGGAAACCGCGAATCAAGGAGGGATACTAGAAAGGCGCTCAAGAACTCATTGTTCGAGACCACGATAGCCACAAGTTTTGCAGGTGACTGAGAGCCGGTACTTGGATTTTAGGAAATTCTACGGCCGTACGGCGGACATTCTCTTTTTGCCTATATTTTTTCCCCTTTCAATTTCACCGAAAATCTTCCTTGCCTAATGCCAAATTTTTACAAAAGAGAAGTCAAAAGAGATATGACCACAAGCTCTTATGCCTGTTGATTTCTAGAGAGCAACATACTGTTCACAAAGTGGACCCTGAACTGGAGACTGACCATTATGAGTTGGCGGGAGCCATGTGCTGATTATGCCGGTTCACCTACATACTCCAGACCTTTCGTACCATATCGCACGCTTCTCCCAGCCATCCGTGAACTCTGAAAGCGACTAAGTGGGGCAGCACGAGAGGCTACAAACTTCTAAGACAGGTGGTATCAGCGCTAAATACCTTGATATCTCCAAGATATTAAAGCAGGGTGCGCCGACTCCGTCGAGACCTCTCGGTCCCAAGTGGTCGGTGGTTAAGGGAACTTTTCAGATGGCAACACAGCGGCCCACAGCCGCAGGACACTGCGCTCATATACGCATGGCAATGCTTCTTGGGCAATAACCAGCCGACCGGTGCCTTTTCAACGATGGACAAGTGTTTTGTTAAACAGAGGCCCCATGGGAATTAGGACAAACTAATAGATAGTCTAATTTATCCCGAGGGCACCAGAACAGCCACAAAAGTATAAGCCCAGAAGTTCAGCGTCATAGCGTCAACAAGACCGGGCACAGCGTCTCAACTGTCGCCAAACCCTTCGGCTTACGTTCCGCTCAGGGGGCACCTTACCTTCAGGCTCTTTCACTCGAAGGGATAATACAAATACTTTCAATCCTCAGTGGGATTCGAATATGCACTGAAGTGAGGTCCGCAGGTAAACGGAAAAACTCCAAACCAACACAAATATAAGAGCAATATGGCATTGAACTTCTTGTGAGTGACGTTCACGCTTACAGCCACAATAACATGGTATAGAACTAATCTTCAATAGGGCCCGACCCGTCAAGTTGAGATAGACACCAGAAGATACAAACGTGCGTAGTGTTTTCACCAAAAACTGAATCAAGATATTGACCGTCACAATAGGACGCGGGCTGGGAGAATAGCTGTCACCCCTCAACAGACAACCCGTCATTATGGATAGACGAAGTCAGGCCTATGTTAATGGGCATGCTGGTTATGGCTGGCTACTCTTCCTACTCGCCGTCGTTTCACACGAAATTCTTTCACGAGTCAGTGGCACGATCTTTGAATCCTCATCCCAGAGGGTGTGGGCCCCTTGGCGACTGGAAGAGCTTCATGACGGATGGATGACCATACGCTAGTCGAACTAAGCTGGTGTTAGTCCACATTGCCAGCAAACCCTACGTTCCGGTACTCGGTTGAACCAATTGGCTTATTTGCTGGACAGGAAGACGATCCCATCAACGCTGCTGCCAGTCTGCGCCTACTTGTAGATAATCTCCCCTTAGCCCCGAAATTGCATCTATACCTGCATCACCATTTCGAAAACTTGCTTTTATCGGGAGACGGGCCAGTCAAAAGTAATAACCAGGACTCGTTTCCGCTCCAGTCACAAAGCATCATGGCCTTCGAATTGCTGGAAACATCAATTGTTGTCAAGCAATACTATTTGCCCGGATGCCCGTATGGAGAGCACTGTCAGAAGGTAAAACGAATCTTGCCATTATCAAATGCATAATGCAAAAGCTTCCTGCACCGGTTCACGCTTTGATGGACTCCATGGATATGTTCAACGAGTTTTTCGGCTCATTTCAATAGTGTTCACAACCAGTCGTCGAAATCGTAGCCATCGATTGCGTCGATCCGTCCCAGTCTCGTTTGAAAATTTATGTTCGATCACAGCTCACGACTCTGGAGAGTGTATTTGATATGTTAAGTCTAGGTAGGAGAGCCCCCAAAGCCCAGGACGAGGAAGACTCTTTACGGGAGCTTTGGTGCTCGGTGTTTGGTTTGAATCCCGACGAGCATCACGAACACCAGCCCCTCCGTAAAGGGGAGCATCATACAGGCGGCATTGTTTATTACTTCGAGTTTAAACGGGGTACGAAAGCTCCCAAGTCGAAGGTATACGTGCCCGTTCGACATTACGCGCAAAGCGATGAGCAGATTTCTCGAGGGCTTTCCGACTATCTCGCCCGTCGTAGCAAGACGCTGGCCACAGGATCTTATTATGATGGAGTCAAAAGATTATGGTGAGTTTTGCGGCCAGGAAGTTTACTTCTAGAATCGAACCGGCTCAGCCCTCTTCCTAGATGGCTGGTAAGTCCTTCTCGGCTGCTTCTCGCTGAGTTCAGGCGCCGGCAAGGTAATCCATCAATCCCAGTAAGCCTTTCTTCGCGTGCGAGGTTGATCTGTGTCTGGCGAAGGGAAACGGCCTTCGTTATCAGATACCTATCGATATTCCAGATGACGATGATGGTACTAGTGTGTGAAGAATCATATATGAACTGCATTAATGAGACCATGTTCTTTGTCGGTGAGGATCGTACGCGGGGAGTCGATGTCTATCACAGGTATGCCGTCGTCGCCTTCCTCGTGGAGACTATTGTACAATCCGCCAAGGAAATCTAATACAATTGTATATCAAAAGGGGATTGCTCGATGGCAGTCTGGCATAGCAGACAGGTCGATATCATGGAAGAAGTAACACCACAAGACACTCCCAGCCCACGCGGGTAGCAATTGTAGGCATCGATCGCATTGGCCTACTCCTAATCCAAGGAGAAAGAACCCGAAATGAAAGTATAGAGTAGATTGTAGACTACTAAACTGCCTGAGATCTCACAATGAAAGAGAAGCACGTGCACTGCCAAGAAATGAATGCGGCCTGAGGCCCTTGATGTCGTGATGTCGCCGGTTTCACCACTGCAATATGTGACTCCAATTTACTGGCAAGAAAAGCCCAGCCAACGTAGACCGAGGCTCCCCTTGCCATAAATCCAACGATACAGAGCAATGGTAGGCCGTATCGTATAGGTACCATCCATGGATCATACGCAGGGATGACGCTTTTGCATTCCAATACTACTCTTAGGTATGCAGTATAGAATTACGATGTCTGTCATCAACAAGCTCCGTTCGAAAGAGCCACTGGCTGTGCCTTGGTAGCTTCATCAATGATACGGCCGTTCAGGAGCTCCTGGCTGAGTGGGAGCTGCCGCGGTCTAACAGGTAAACTAATGTGGTCGTGCGGATGGGGCCTCTTTCTCAGATTTGGACTAAGTTTAAAACAACAAAACAAGGCCAGACCACGCTTGATGTGGAGCAACAGGGCTATGCTTAACGATTAATACGATATGTCTTTTGCCGCGAAAATGTGCGGGTCGAGGTGACTCCACCTGATCCGGTTTTGCCGTATATGTGATCGTGCTTAGTCTATACACAATTAATATTAAACTAAAGGTAGTAAACCTAAAAAAATGTCAAATAAGAGACGAAACTAGGAGAGAGCTGTGAAGAGACTAAACCACTCTGTATAGAGATAGTGAGTCACATGAGGTGTGCATAACATATGTCGGACTCGACATTATAGGAACTGCGCCTATCCAAAGTGTTCGAGTCGGATTCTCGTATCCGTGAAAGAATAATTAACTAATACGAAAGCCACCCTCTTCCTTGCCCTTTTAGCGCTTACTTACCTCTGCATGAATGACGGGAGGGTTGAATGAGCGCCTGACCTTTTCAGGTATTGTAGGGGGATCATGGTCACTAAACAGTAACCCATCTACCCATCCACGTCTTGGTAATTTCCTTTGCTTCATCGACTAATCCAAGTTCTACCATAAAAAGTCAAGTCAGTTAATCCTCAAAGCGATACGATATTTCGAGATGATCCTACCTAGCAGAAGCCGTACTGTCCCACGAACGGAGGATTCCAAAGCAGAGGCAACTGTAAGCGAAAGTCAGATCATGCTGAAAAGAAAAGGGCTGTGGGTTGACCGTACTCCATGAGTGGGTGTACGATGTGTGTTCTCCAATAAAAATCATCTGTCAAAGTTCAGCGATCACGACTCTAACTTCGAAACTCCTAGGCGAGGGTAACGCACATTGTTCTCCGTGTTGAAGTAAGATGGAATATACAGCTCGTGCTGACCCACACTTGGAAAAGCCCAAGAGCCGCCCGCATTGGACTCTTCCTCTAACCAACACAGACGGCTGAAGTTTCCAGTGTATTCTCCGTACACAATATCTCCATTTAGCTGGGCAAAAGCATCCAGTGCGTACTGAGCATGCTCCTTTTCGGGCGTGGAAACCCAGCGGTAGCCATAGTCGTCTTGGTTGTAACTGCCGAGAATAACCGCATGGCCTGTACTATTCACGTTGAAGCTAGGATAGCAGACATTTCCAATACCCGGAATGTCGGTTTGGTGTTGCAACTACCAAAGATCGGCTGCTCCAAATGCTCCCAAAATCGTGACTTGAATTCCAGCGCCACCTGACACGCTTTATTAGTACTGTGCTCCATACGAGGTCAATAAACTTACTTTGCAGGCAGATTGATAGCCGAGTTGAGCAATTGCGTCGGTGAGGATTGTAGAGAACTCTAATAAAGTGAGATTAGTTCTGAAATTGGAATCCCACGGGAAATCCATACCTGGAAGTTCCCATTTACGAACAACGGTAAATGGTACGGCGACAAAGGCATAGTCATAACTGGTATTCTGGAACTGACGGTCAGTGTAATGGTTCTTCCAAGAAACTTGCACCTTCTTCTCATGTTCGAGAAATTCGACCTTCTGGATCTTCCTGCGGTATTTGAGATCATCCTTGACCAGCGGCTTGAAGGCGTTTGGCAGTCGACTCATGCCTTTGAAGTATCAGTTGCCCGTTATTGATGACTTGGTAACAAAGGACTAACCTTTGTCAATTGTTTTCCATTCCTTGGAAGAGAAAAACATGTTATCGTACCTGTGGGTACCGGCTATGAGTAAAATACTCCCCAATCTCGTCATGTTACGGAATACTCACAAACTTACCCAGAACGGGGCAGAAGCAGAAGCAGAGGCAAGTCCCCCAGCCAAACCGGTGGTGTTTAGATCAAAGCCCAATACATTATGAAGGTAGCTCCCCTGAGCCCAATTGTCTCCGCCCCTGCCATTCCGACCGACGTCTTTATAATACAGTTAGTAAACTAGATTCATCAAGAGTAATAGGGCTATATACCATACCCATGAATTTCTTGTGTGCCTCGTAGAGGTTACTGGCAATTAGGTTGATCATCGAAGGATCGTACATGATTTTGCCTAATTGTCCCATCAACTTGTCTAACTCGGGGGTGTGAAGGGACGCAGCACCGAGGGAGCTATTATTCGCAACATCGCCAATGGTCGGAATTGAGCCGTCTGCGTTTCTTTTGTTTTCAATGAAGGAAAGGGCATTATTGCTGTCCTGTATGAAGGGGATCCAGTCGACGGCAAGTGATTCGTCGTGTTTGTTCAACTCATTTAAGGCGTCTGCTAGTTGAAACACAATTTGATGGCTAGAAAAGTTCAACGTGAGAGTCTCGTTGCCCATTGGAAATGTTGCGGTGATGGGAATTCGCATTGCTCCCATCTCTTGGTATTGGTATTTTGAGTCGGGCAATTCGAAGTATTCCGTCCAAATGCGACTTTCTATTGTCAGCCTTGATACAACAAATACTGAGAGAAAGACCTACCCTCCAACTCGGTCGGTGGACTCGGAGATCTGAAGGTTTGTAAAGCCAACGCTGTTGAGGAGAAACTTTAAGAAATGAGCATCGCCAATTGAGTAATCCAAGTAGGCGAGGTGACATACATAGGTCATCAACCCCGATATTCCAGCTCCGAGAATGCCGATAGCTGATTGACATCATTAAGAATGCATAATCCGTGTGATTTTGGTTATACGCACTTTACCTTTTGCCTTCCCTACATCAATGGTCCCAATTTCTTGGTTCTTGAGAAGGGTAACCCCATTGGACCATGGGCCCTCTGCATCGATACCAGAATCGTTTGTCATTGAAATGCGGTCCCTCTTGGTCAACTTGGGTCGCAGGATTCCTTCCAAAGCCAGTGGCTCACTCTGCCCGATCAGGATCTTGTTCCGCTCCCACGCCATAATGCATCCTCCGGAGGAGACATCATCGGGGACGACCCAAACCAATCGAGTATCTTCGCTAGACTTCACACCTCCGGAACCATGTGCAATGGTCAACTGAGAGCTAGAGAAACTACGGCTACTACAATTGCCGTAAGTGAAGACATGTTCCTTGAAAGCCGCATCAGGGTACTTGAGGTGAATATTGATGATCTTCGAAGCCGTAGTATCCCTCACAGAAATATCAATATCCTGAGGCACAGAGGCTGCGAGTGCCACGGGAAGAAAACCGGTCATCAGCAGGGTCCAGTGCATCTTGAGATTCGTACTGGATATGGGTACAGTTGACCTTTCGTACAATCATTGCCATCTATCTTATTTTATACCTAATTCGTGGGTGCCTCCTTTCCAACATAAATCGGTTGCTGGTGGATCCCAGCAACGACTATCTACGGCCGTAACCGTAGCCGGAGTCTGCCTTGGAGGCAGGATAATCACAATCTCTCATCTTCTTGTTATTAACCCCATTCGGCATGTCCTCGCTATTTCCGTGGCAAATTGCTGTTGTTTAACCTTTTGGCAAAAAATGCCTCTGGGCATTTCCATAACATTGAACGTGGCGTTTTCTCGGAAATCAATTTTCAAAGTAGTCCATAGTGCATAGCACTAATTAGGCCGTCTTGAATAATTGTGCAGCTTTACTTTCGGGATCAACAACGTCTTTAAGATAGTGAGGCTTGATTGCTGGAAGACGGATGGATGTCTGCGTAAGATTTCCTTTTATCGAAGACAAACAGACGTATCAGGGGAAGAAGTCTATCATTCTGTCATTGATTTATGCTTTAGTGGTCTTAGTCACTGTGGTACACGTCTAGGCTCAGGTGCCGATAAATATATTGGAGCTATAGTTGATAAGCTAGGCGCTGGAGGTGCCACTCTACCGGCCGTAGGGTGAGAAGATACTTCGAGTTTAATCAAACACAGCCCTATAAGGTCCATTCTGAGCTCATTCATAAACTATTGATGATTTCGCTTGGCAGAATCCATTACCATGTTGGCAAGAACAGCCCCATCTATGGCACCGCCGACTGCTCTGAGTCTTCCATGATCTGTCTTCTTACTAACAGGATGTCCGACAAAAGCACCCTTTTGAACAAGCGACGAGGAAAGGTTTTATCAAATGTAGCGATGGTTTGTACGTACTCGCGTCCCACCAACAAGCGTTGCACTCAGACCTTTTTAGCCTCGTAGCGCTGAGTGCACCTGCTTGTGTTGTGTCGTTGCATTGTGCTTGTTGGGTGACAGACGCTTTGTCTTGACGTGCGACGCTGTCCAGAAACGACCCCTGTAGATGTAAGTTAGGTCGCTTTCCCATATGGTACAGAAACACCATAAATGTATTTGTTTACCGAGACAAAGCACCCATTCGAGGTACTCATTTGGACTTGGAGTGTTGGAGCTCATCCATTCTCATTTGCTCGGGGGCCTTATCCCCATAGTAGTCACGACTCGATATAGTCCCAGGTAGTGGCGATTAAACCTTCCCAGGCAATTAAGGTAACAAGATATATTTCTGCAGATGATAAGAATGCTTTGAAACTTGTGTGTAGTTAACATCATCCGTGTGTTATGTTTTGGTGGAGAGGGGGTATCTAAAGCGGAATAAGAAAAAGGTCAGCAATCCTGCGGTAATATCTATTGGCTGATAAATACAGCGACTCTAGCGTTAGGATAGGTCAGGGAGTACATACGCACTTCATTGTGTCTAAACTTGACCCACTGGATATCGCAAGACAAATTTATTCGGCGCCTTGGCGGTAAGCACACATTAAGCACAGCCCAGTCTCAATAGAATAAAGATTTACGCATTTTAAGGGCTTTCTAATACATTTTCTAGCCCCTCGCTATAGGCTCAAACCTAGTTTTACGGCCATATTGTGAGACGTCTTCGGACCTTAGCAGCGGGCGGATTTGGCTTGGAAGCCACAGCCAATGATTCCTTGCAGCCCCAAATCTGCACTGTAGAGAGGCTCCTTCGTTCCCCTTCTATTTCCACCGATATCATTACTATACAATAGAAGTCACTATCAGATTTCCCCTTGGACACACACTTTTCTCTCTCGGCTCGTACCCGGAACGAGGCCAATCCTTATTGGGATAGGCAGTAAATTATTGTCTACTCATGTAATATTCCTATTTACAAACTAGCCTTTGTTTAGAGTTAGCCGTTTCGGGTGGGGGCTGAGAAACAACGCGTGTGTCTAAGGAGGAATCTATTTTCGACCTCCACATAAATTACTATAACAACTACATGGTTTACTACTATAGTAACTACATTCTACTACCAGCCTATCACTATATGTAGTTGCCGCGGTAATGTATGGTAATGATATCGGGCAAAGCTGATTACCCGATGCGGGAAATACCTAATATATGGGTATCTCTAAAAAAAGTGCGGTCTCTATATTATTCCCAGGTCAGTGAAACCTTTCATGTGATCAAATAGGACGTTTTTTTAATGGCGTAAAGAGCTTTTCGAGCCATCGAAGGCTAATTTCATCGGAAATCCACCCGTTCGGATTAACTTCGAGTTTCCAATTATTCGAAGGGCCGTTAAGCCAGGTTTCGATAAAGACTTTGTCCTAAAAATCAGGCACGGAGAAAGCGCCCACCCCGACGCGTTTATACACTCCATTGTAGTCTCCCACGTACGATTTCCGGGCTGTGAAAGCGATCGGCGGCCGTAGAAATTCCTTTCTCGTAATCACCTTTGCGGTCGCGATCTAGCCCGTTGCAAAACCGGTCTCGTCAAAGTTATAGACATCGTCGGGATCGATACCGTACGAAAGGATAGTTTTTGAAACGAGAGAAAACCAGTTAAAAATTAACTTCGGGTCTTCGCATTTAGCACGCTGATAATTGTAGCATCTCGAGAATCTACGGGATAGCTTGGAATGTCTTTTAGCGTAATCGTAACCCAATTTTGGCCAGCCGAAGGAGGAAGGGTAGATCCACGCGCCGCGAGTAGCAAGTCTGCCATTTCTCGTACGGTAGAAGGCCGAGGCGCTGCTCCACGAGAATCCATGGAGAGAATCCATGTGAAGTATAAGGGGTCCTAGTGTTTACAGGATAGAACCTGTCAACTTAGGGTAAGATGAGGATGTCTCAGAACAATGGTATTGGAGAGAATACGAAGGCTTATTCTTGGGGAGCTCTCAGGTTCCCCTGGATCGGACTATAACACGAGGCGTAAGAGGAGCGGTCAATCAATACTGACGTGTCTATGTAAGGGCGCTGGCGATTCACCGACAGTTCCCTACGAACATGTACAGGAGGCAGCTACTCCGTGACAATCCATTTCCGAAGCGATTGCTCTTCAGATTCGTTCAATTTATGTGAACTTGGGGGAAGTAGCGTGTTCTGTACAGCCAGTAAGACGGTCGCGTATAGTTGAACGCGGTATTTCAAAGGTCCTAGCACCGAGAGCAATAGAGCTTATTTCTTGTTTCCTAGTAGCCTGAATAGCTAATAAAATCTTACCCTCTTGCTCTGTACGTTTTTAAGAGTATTGAGTACGAATTGGTGGCTTAGTGGTGGCTAAAGAAGAGGGAGATCTATGTAAACTAACGCGTTTTGGGTAGGGTGGCGGCTCGCTTGTGGTGGCAGCTCGGCTTGTGAATTACGTTGTGGCAAATTATGTGGCTAAGTTAACTAGTTAGTTAGTTAACTTGTGTGCAGGCGTGTGCTTAGTCACCTCCGGGTCCCACCACCTTCCGACAATTATCATAAAATGGAAAGTTGTGACATTCGATCTAACATCACATCTACTCGAAACGCCAACATAGCCGGTGTTTGACTGTTTAGTACCTTGGCCGTGGTAAAGTCAAAGAGAGAGAGAGAGCCTATGGCAAGTGAGCAAGCATGTCCCGCTAGGCGACAGTACGTTGGCCGGTTCTTTCTCGTTCCCTTCATATTGAACGCAGGCTCATTAGCTCCTATAGCAAAGGGCGACGGAAGCCATATACACAATTTGCATGGTGTGTTTGCATGTAAATGCTGGCCACCGTTGGTGCTGATGTTAGCAGTGAGGAGTGCAGAAGACGCAAGATCAAATGCGATGGCCAACAACCGTGCCATCGCTGTGGAAATTTGGATCTAACATGTCTTTGGCCTCCCCAACGTCATATTAAAAATGCTGAGTGGAATTTAGGTCGTTATGCGGCTCCTGCGAAGCCAGTTGCGCCAACCGTCGTAGATCCCTCGGATTCTCGGTACTTTCTCGATGCTCTCCTGATACAGATCTTTTGCTAACCATGCTCTAGGGATGTAAAAGCTCTAAGGTCCCAGGTCATTTCACTTCAGGTGGAATTACAGGCTATGTCGGCTCAATTGAAGCAGGCCATAGAATATCGAGATTCCGAACCCAAGATTCAGCAGGACACTCCTACGTCCCGGGAGGGGCAGGGTCACACACACGTTAAGCATTCACATACAAGCAATGTCACGTATCGGAAGGATTGCCTATATCATGGCCCTGCAGGCACTGCTTTCACATTTGACATAGCGCGAGCTAACTTACAGTCCATGGGACTAATGTCCGTGTCGACTGACGACGATAATTCCCTGGACTACTATTCTACCGATGATGACCCTGAGGTATCGCAACATGTACCAGACCCCCTTGACCTCGTGTCACCGGAAGAAGTGCTACGCTTGTGCAAGGCGTTTGCAGAGGAGACCAATGTCATGTATCCATTTCTGGACATGAACAAGATCATGGGCCAAATTGAAATACTTAGAACAGCCCAGGACGCGAAGGGAAGCCGGACGATCTCGGGCGATGACAGAGATATCATCGTCCTTGTGCTGGCAATATCTCTGATAAGAGAGAGCGCCGGAGAGAGCGAGCTAGGCAGGTCGTTGTTCCATTCGATCAGGAATCGTTTAGATAAGAGGATTTGGGCTCCATTATCTATCACTGGCATCAGTTCTCTGGTTTTAGCGGTGAGACCCATTTGACTTCCCTATATTACCAAGGATATAGTGTCTGAACTACTATAGGCTCGGTACTATTTCTATGCGGATGAAGACGAAAGAATGGCTTGGCGGACAATCGGCATCGCTGCAAGACAATGTTTTGAATTAGGGCTACATCATCTGCAGGGATACTCGAAGTTCGATGAAGAGGCCTCTCGGTCAGCCCTCGTCCTATTCTGGTCGGTTTTTGCCCTAGATCGCCGCTGGAGTTTTGGGACTGGGTTGCCGTTTTCAATACAAGAAGAAGATATCGATCTATCCCTGCCAGAGCCAGTATGTGCAACCTAACAATTGTCCGAAAAGTTATTTGGATCAAATATATACTAACTTCGTCACCAGGACGATTCTCATAAGTATCTTAAGACCATGATTCCATACTGTCGACTTAGCACCAAAGTCTGGTATTCCGGTCTCGGGACAGGTGCGATCTCGAAACTACGCAGGGATGGCATGGAAAGCCTTGATTCACAGGTCCTTCAATGGCACCAACAGATGCCAGAATCCCTCAAGTGCCCAAACCCATACAGCGTCGAAGTTGGACTCCCTACGATCCCGAGAATACTTCAAATTCAAATGTATGTCCGGACAAATACCATGCGCGTCTTGATCTACCGGCCAATTCTCTATAGCTACACCAATATCATGCAGGATATGCCGCATGCAGTGTTATGTGTACACCTTGCCAAAGACACGATACGTATCCTGTATCATACGCACAAGGCTACCAAGTTCTACAAAACCCATCAGACGCTATTCAATTTTTTTATTCTGTCTTCTCTGGCAATTATCCTTTTGGCATGTTTTCATGATCCGGCGGACTTCTGTTCTTGTGTCCAAGAGGAGGTCTTCATGGCCCTTGAACTCGTCAAGGTTTTGAACTCCAAGTCGCGAGTTGCGAGACGACTGTGGAAATCAATTCGAGATCTTCGGGAGGTTGGTGAGAGGCTCGGCGTCCTATCTCCTGCCAGCCCTGTCGAGAAATCTCAAACCTCGACAGTATTTCATGACACAGACATTCAGCCATTTTCTGTGAATAGCGTTGACGAAACTGATGTCCCGATGCCTGGAACCAGAGTGAGCGCCGAGCTGACAGGCCTGTTGCAAGAAATTGGGATTTATCACCCTCTCACAACTGTGTACCTTAGCCAGGGTAATGAAAACAATGAATTCGACAACCGCCCTCCGGAGCTATCGTGGGAAAATCTTACGGCACCTCAGTGGAGCAACGCTGATGGACTATCTGAGGTCCTGAATCCGCTATTATGGAATTGGTAGTGTCTTGTCTTTCAAAGCAAATTGACAATAGTTTTTGTTACGATTTACTCGGAGAATATTCCTACCGTACATCGAGTGTTATTCTGCTTTTCGTAATTAGAAGGTCGATATTATTATTATTATTATTATATGCTGTGCTTTCACAAACTAAAAATCGCCAGATTTCTATCGTTCTTCCATCGCCTGGATGAAGGCGACAATATGCAGAGTCGAGGAACGAAATTTCCCGTGCTCTAGAGTGCTCCCCCACTAGGCATGGGTCACTCACTAGAAATGGCAGCTTAATGACGGTCAAATATTCAAGGAAAGATATGGTCTATCGGTATCCAAGGGCCTTATATACTATAAAAGAGAGACTTGATGATAGGACAGGCTATAATGATAGAGATACAACTACTAATGATAGATTCTATTGGTTGATAATGACTAACTAAGGGGAGAAGAGAGAGTAGGGGACGATAGAAGATAGTGACAGAAAGCTGGTGTACAAACAATGTATGGTATAAATGACCAATGTTGATAACTCTAACTAAAATGACAAAACCCGCTATTTCAACAATCTGTGCGGACAATAATAACTAACTATAATATGCACTTTTGTATGGTATGCCTAGTACCTAATATCATATAATGTTTCCGGTATATTACCTTGTTTCTACTATATATTCGGACTTGGTATTCGATATACCCCCTAGTTCTTAAAGCCTATATTTTCCTAGCTTTAAGAGCTATTAATTTCTTTATTTCTATACTCTCTTTAAATAGCCTCTATCTCTCGGATTAGATAACTAATCTCTCTTATCCTAATTAGCTCTCTAAAGAGATACTACTTCTACCTTAGAAGCGCTTTCGTGAGGCTATCTATTAGTATAGCCGTAGTTAGAACATAGTTAATATTAACTCGACCCTCGTTAACCTCCTATCTTATCTAGTAACGATTAATATTAATATATCGGAGCTTCGTATATATCGCCGCCCCTTCCTTTATTAATAAATCGACGGTTTACTAGTTATCGTATATAATAGATAGTAGGTAGTTAGGTTAGAAACCTAATATAGAGAGGACTCGACGCTACTACTATATAGTTTTACCTACCTCGGCTAGAGCTAGTAGCTCTACCTCTATAGTCGACGTTGTTACCGTCTTCTACTTAGTTACTTTCTAATTAATTAGGCCCTTATATAGCTTATAAATATAACCCTCGGAGCTTTTCCTATCCTTTTTATCTCTAAACGATATATCGCTTATAAATTTAATTGATTTTATAGGTAGCTAAAGACTTAGTTTAGGATTTAAACTAAGGTTTTTATTATATCGATCTTAACGATCTATCTTTTTAGAACTATACTCGATAGCCTAGTACCTAGTTTTATATAGATATTATATAACTCGGTTAATAGTATTAATATACTTAGGACCAAGGTTAGTTAGGAACTTAGCCAGTTGAGCTATAGCTTTTATAGTATCTAGCTAGACAATAGTAGTAACTAGTATACTAACTAGATCCTACTTTAGCCTAGAAACTATAAATCTAACTCGGTAACGCTGCTCTATTATATAGAATTAATTAATCGATAGCTAATAGGGATCCTACTTTCCTTATAGTAATTAAATTATATCTTACTATTATACTTTTAATATAGCTATCTTAGTATAACTAAAGCTTTTTTTATTCCTGTTAATAGATACTCTATAAGTCAGGGTAGGTGCCTGTCAATCAGGTAGGAGAAGGTAACTATTACGGACCTATCCGTCACCAATCAGAGGTGACCCACTAGGCACACCTATTCTAGCAAGAGAACCACCACGTGACTATGTCTATCTACTAACGCTAAGAAGGGGTGGATAGTCACCGTGACTCCGGTAGATATACTCTAGGGAGTATATCTTAGGGAGTAGAGAACGAAGGATATATAAGGACACTCCCTTGGGGGGTATAGAATATGTAGATTACTAGGACATAGAAGAGAAATATGTCTAGATAGACCAGTTAGTTAGTTGATTTAATTTAATGGCGTTATGGTTGGGGTAAATGCATTTAAATTTAATAGGTTGGGTGGGGTGTCTAGCTCGGGGGTTTGTCCAGCTCGGTAGTGGAATACGTTAGATAGACTAGTTAGTTAGTTAGTTAGTTGATTTAACTTAATGGCGTTATGGTTGAGATAAATGTATTTAAATTTAATATGTTAGGTGGGGTGTCTAGCTCGCTTATGTGTCTAGTTCGCATGTGAAATATGTAAGTGCGTAACACAAAGCCATTACTTATATATATCCAGCCTACATATATATCATAGTTTAGTGACAGCACTAGATCGGCAATTGACGGTCCAAACGGGAGTAACTTCCGTTATACGATGGTAAACAACTAGCAGGTCACGGCAGTAGACACTCCATACAACGGTTTGGGAGGCCTCTACATGTTTACAGGAAGTCGAGCTAAGGAAGTCCCGTCTGACCCACTACTGCAGGCGCCGGAGCTTAGATAGGAGTTCAACGCCGGGGCGCCGGAGCTTATCTGAGCTAAGCCTCTCCCTTGATCAATCCTGACCAATAGCCAGGCTTAGCTTCAAGTAAAGCATTTGCGAGGTGAAGGGTCGGAGTTTGAGGTGTGGGTGTTCTGCCATCTGTCACAACACAGTCTGTCGACGTTTCGATTCTTCCACAGATCTTCCACCTCCTACAGATAGGCGATCCATCTGTTGACCTGGATTTAACCATGGCCGGCACTATAGAAAACAACGAGAAAGGGCTGCCCTTAGAAAAATTAGAGACAGTAGCCGAGCAGCAAGACTCCGAAACCGATTTCTGCCTATGGCAGCAACTCCCAGTCTTCATCGCAATGGGCTTGGCCATCTTCATTCTAGGACTTGTATGTTCCCTCTTCTTCAAAGAGGTCGCACCGTTTTGCTAACAAGTTTGATGCGCGTTCAGGACAACACGATCGTTGGCACGGCAACGCCAACGATAAGCAATGGATTCCACTCTCTTACTGACATCGGTTGGTATGGCTCGGCCTACCAATTATCAACCTGCTCAACGCAGTTTCTGTTCGGCAAACTGTACACCATGTTCCGCGTGAAATGGTTGCTGGTCATCTCTGTTGCAATACTCGAAATCGGATCCATCGTCTCTGCCGCTGCGCCCAATTCGGCTGCCTTCATCGTTGGGCGTGCGATTGCTGGCTGTGGCGCTTCGGGGGTTCTTAATGGTGTTCTGATGTAAGTAGAAGAACTCTTACTACAGCATGGTCGGCTGACTGACGTGATGATGTAGTGCTGGCTCGCATACGGTACCGTTGCGCTGGAGGCCAATCTTCAATAGTACTGTCGGGGGGCTGGAGTGCATTGCCATGATCGTAGCTCCAGTGATTGGCGGCGCTCTGACAACCTATGTTACTTGGAGGTGGTGGTAGGTGCTCCTCCGTCCTCATCGCATCCTCCAACGTGAGCATACCCTTGCTGATGCTCCCTCCTTGCTAGTTTTTGGCTGAACCTCCCGATTGGGGGGTTCACTCTAGCCGTACTAATTTTCGTCTTCAAGCAGCCGCCGGGTCAAAAGGGTGTGGAGAAGTCGTTATTGTCAAAAACCAAGCAGCTCAACATCCCGAGTCTGCTCGTCTTTACCGGCAGCATCGTCTGTTTGCTGCTTGCCCTCCAGTGGGGCGGCACAACGTACCCCTGGAGCAGTGGACAAGTGGTCACGCCCCTGGTTGTTGCAGGCGTTTCATTTGCTGCATTTCTGGCGTACGAGACTCTCCGCAAAGACGAGGCTATGATTCCGCGCTCGGTCATTCTCGATCGGACGGCAGGGCTGTGTATGCTTTATGCATTTTGCTCTTCCGCGGCGTTTAATGTGATTGACTACTTCGTGAGTCCCCCCTTGACATGACATTCTCCATCGAACAGGCTCGCTCACTCGCCATGTCATACGCATAGCTTCCGATCTGGTTTCAAGCAATCAAGGGCGCGACGGCCACCAAATCGGGACAAATGCTGCTCCCCTCAATCATTGGGCTCTCTGTGGCGGCCATAAGCTCGGGCTTTATCCTCTCCGCAATCGGGTACTACACACCGCTGATGTTACTGGGCTCCGCCATGATGGCAATAGGCTTCGGATTCTTCACTACATTCCAACCCTCGACCACACATGCCGCCTGGATTGGGTGGCAAGTGATGTTGGGCATAGGCACTGGGCTGTCGTTCCCACAGCCATGGTCAGCGACGCAGACAGTGCTCGCAGCAAAAGATGTGCCCCTCGGGCTGGCAGGCGTGGGCTTTGCTATCAGCCTTGCCGCGGCGGTGTCGATTTCGGTGTCCCAGAATGTGTTTACTAATCTGCTCCGCGAGGGTTTGCAGGCAGGTGCTATCCCCGGCGTGGATGCTGGCGATATCATCCAGCAAGGTGCGACGGGCTTCTTGCAGCATATCGCGGAGAATGAGAGGGAATCGGTGCTGATGATATATAACTCTGCCGTGACAAGCTGCTTCTGGCTGCCCGTCGCGGCCGCCTGTGTAGGGTTTGTTGCAGCCTTGGGAATGAACTGGAATTCGGTCAAAGGAAAGCAAAAGGAGGGCGATGAGGAGGAGAAGAAGAAGAAGAACGAAACTGGAAGTGAGAGAGAGCTGGTTGCGTAGGCGCACACGTAGGATTGTCCAAGAAGGATGCTTTCAGGACGCGTCAGGTATTATAATGTCACCTGCGCAGAGTGTCTAGGGACAGTCGAGTCAGAACGTTGAGGATTCCGGATATAAGGCTCCGCATACTTAGCCGTCAGGTTCAGGTCAGAATCTATGATAACTGCCAAGACCTTCCTAAGTAGGCTATCCGATAATCAGGTTGCCAATTGGAATAATTTGGATTTTACGCATACTTCAACCTGATCAGATTAAGGTCAGGTTCAGATTAGGATACAAACTCGTAACCTGACACGTCCGAATTTCCTAATCTAGTAACCTGATATTAATCTTGATGAATCGAACGTCGGACAGCACATGCACTAATATTAAAAGCAATTTTGTACGAGAGCTTACTCATGGCAACATGCGTGCGAGTCTTGAATGGCCGGTACGCTCGGGGTGGTTCGTGTCGAAAGTCGAAAGGCGGAGTGACTGCACCTGTCGCGACAGTGGGCTCAGGCCCCAACTTCAACCTGCCAGCTTCATCTTTTTCGGCGACCTCGATCGGCTTCAGTAGTGACAGACGCCCATCGCTTGGCGCCCGAAGCTTTTTTACGACAACTGTGACTATGAGGGTTACAGAAAGGAAGATGGCCGCAAGCCATGTGGGTAGAGAAGCCATCATTGTGGATGTTGAAGACAAGACGTGAGTTCGGCATTTGTTGCCAACCTTCATGTATTTTCATCCATGCAGCAGCCCAGGTACTGATATCTCCTTGTCTGAATAAAGCGCTGGGAAAATCATCCGACACCTGCATCAACCGGCGGGGGAGTGCCGGCGAGCCCCGTTGAGCTCCGGTCGTAGTGTCTCACATATTATCCGTAAACTGTCAGCAGTGAAGGGCTAGCAACAAGATCGGTTCAAACAGCAAAAGCCTTACCTCCGAGCACCTTGTCGGAGGCATCCTCTGCAACTTCGATCCATGGGTGACGAAAGATCCCACAAAATGCGCCATTGTCTCTGAAGACGAACAACTTACGTACTCAGAACTGGACTCTCGCTCGCGCCAGCTCGCATCGAATTTAGCATAGCATGGGGTCGGGCTGGAGGACGTCGTGGCCTTTTGTTTTCCCAAATCTGTGCACGCCGTCATTGCCATACTCGAGTTCCTTGGCTGTGGCGCTGCGTTCACGGATTTTCCTCCCAATGCACCGAAGGTCAGGAAAAAGGAAATTTTGACTGTCTGTAAATCCAAGGATGTTGTTTGTGGAGAGGAGCAGGAAGGGATCTTGGATGGTCTACATGTTCTAATTGTCCCTGTTGGAGACGACACGTATCGCCAACATGAGCCGGCCGTAGCGTTCTTAAGCCCCAGCAACAACGACGCTGCGTGTGTTTTGTTTACATCAGGGTCAACGGCCAGTACGTCGCCTTTCCCCCCAAATGCAAAAACACTGCTACTGACCAAGACTCATCCCAGAACCGAAAGGCGTCGTTTATGAGCACGGCAACATCCTCATTGCATCAGAAACATGGGGAGCGTATCCCGGCCACGGACCTCGTTCGCGGATCCTACAATGGTGTTGATTCACTTTCGGTATCGTGATACCTCCGTGTCCTCGTTGCGCAGACAATACTAAGATGTCCATGTCTTAGACGTGAGCATTGTAGAAACCATTGTCGCTCTCATTCTTGCAGCCTGCATCTGCATGCCAACCGACGAACAGCGCACGCAGGGCACAGAGGCCTTCGTCAACCGAGTCAATGCCGACTGGGCCTTCTTCACTCCCTCTGTGGCGCGTACCCTCGATCCTACACGCATGCCCGGACTCAAGACAGTCATGCTCAGCGGAGAAGCAACGAGCAAAGAAATCGTCGCTCGCTGGGCGCCTAACCGCCGTCTCGTCAACAGTAACGGGCCATATGAGTGTACAGTATACTTCTCGTTTGCAGAACTGCGTGATGAGGGCGCAGATGTACGCAACGTCGGCGTCCCCTGTTTCAATGGTTACATAGTCAGTCCAGACGATGTAAACATCCTGATAGACGACGAAGCTGGGACAGGAGCCCCTGCTACAGACGAGCTTCTTATTCAGGGGCCTACCGTTGTTCGGGGTTATCTGCATGATGGCAGGTCGGCGGCATTCGTTGACCCACCGGCCTGGTATGACGGTGTTTTGGGACCAGACGCGCGGTTCTACCTCACCGGGGATATCGCAGAACTCTGTAAGGACCACCACGTCAATATTCGCGGGCAGAAGGTCGACCTCGACGAGATTCGCCATCATTTACTGTCGTGGATTCCGGATTTGCAGGACTTTGTCGCCCTTTTCGAGGGGTTCTCGACAACGCAACAACACTGGCGGGCGTTTGTCGTTTCTCGTTCCATTTGGACGCCGAGTCAATGATGGAAGGGCTTCTCGTGGCTCTGGTTCATGCCTGTGAAGCCCTGAAAGAGATTGTCGCCCGATACATGCTTTCTACTCTCTTCATACCTTTGACGGCTATCCCATTGACTGCCTATTCAAAGCTTGACCTTGCTACCTTGCGCGCACTCCTGGTGTCTCTGGACACAGCTCAAGAAAGAAGGTTCGCTCTTCAAGAGCGTGAGTTTGAGCCTCTTGTCACCGAAGACGAATTAATACTGTGCGATATCTTGGCCGTGCAATTGGGATTAGCAATATCTGATATCAACAGCAACATGGGGTTCGTCCAACTTGGTAGCGACTCGATCAAGGACATGAGCGTCGCGAAGGAATTAGGCCATAGGGGCAAGTACCTTCCAGCCCAGACGATGTTGTTATCACCCACGATCAAAGATATGGCACAGACAATCACACTAGCCGTGGCTTCCTCGTTACCCGAGGTCCCTGCTCCCTTCTCCCTTCTAAGTGCTGGAAACACTGGAAGAAGGAGTCCGCCATGTATTTCTATGCACGGCTCTTCAGGAGGGCTTTCTTGCGATCTCGTCTCGAGACAGACGTGCGAACGGGGCGAGATATGTCTTTAAAATGGGCCTGGGAGCTGATGCACACGCATTGTCTGCTTCATGGCTCGCAACTGTCTCAGCCATCGAAATTCTACGAACGCGGTTTTTCTTGAGTCCCACCGACGGTCTTGTGCAAGTCATCGTCGACGACGGGGACGGGAACTTGCCTTCCTTTGAGAACTTGGCGGACTTGCTACAGTCCCACAACAGCAAGCACATCGGTCTAGGAGGTCATATGGCCAGAGCTGGTCTTGTCAGAAATCCACAGCTCTTTGTCTTGTCGATGCACCACGCAATTTTCGACCTTTTCACTTGCGTCTCGTCTTGCACACATTTAAAGCTGCGTATACCTAACAGTCGCTGCCGCCAGTGCTTCCATTCACAATAGCACTGGACGAGCGGCGAGACACCACCCCTGCGGCTGCTAGCGAGGCCTTTTGGAAGTGTACCTTGGAGCACAGTTCGGTATCGAACTGGCCACTTCCAGCACCTACAAACTCGCTGGCAGCCGAAAGTGAATGGGCAAATTGCTCTCGAAAGCTCGACATTCCCTCACCAGCCGCCGGAGAGAAAACAAATACCGCCGTCACGACATATCTGCAAGCAGCATGGGCTCTGCTCCTCGGTGCATACCAAGGCAGCGACCATGTCGTGTACGCGATGGCTGTTTCTGGCCTGGAATGAGACGCTGCGGTGCGCTCCAAATTGCAGGACCCATGCTTGCCACCTGCCCCTTATGCTTGCGTACGAGTCAAGCGGAGACGGTGGGCGGTCTGCTCGAATCTGTACAGAGGACTACTGTCAAGACTACTCGCCACGCGCACTTGGGTGTACAGAGAATTGCTCATCTGGGCGAAGACGAGAGGCGCGCGTGTACGTTCCGGACGATGCTTGTGGTGCAGCCTGATCTTATCAGCACAGAGCTGCTCCACAATATCGACTTGCATCTCGATACTGAGCTGACACAAGAAGAAGCTCTTGCATCATACGCATGCTGGGTGGAGTGCGTACCGAGTGGAGGTCATCTGACGCTGAAGATGGAATACTTGCCTCAGGCTGTCAGCGTGGACGGGCCCAGTGTCCTTCCTTTTCTGTGTTCTTATCCAGGCTCTCCCTGACGACACCATATCAGCACCTGCGCTCTTTCCACCGCAGGGTCTGGCGGTGGCTCATCCGCGCCATGAGGCTGCTGTGACCGAAGTTTGCCAGCAGACTGTCCATGAATATATCTTCAATGCCAATCAAAAACATCCGAACAAGCAAGCTGTTGTTGGCTGGAACGGCTAGATCACGTACCGAGAGCTAGACCAGCTTTCAAAGCGCTTGGCTCTCAGACTACGGCGTCTTGGGCTTGGCATCGGAGACGTGGTACCCTTCCACACACATAAGTCGACCTGGATGATGGTCGGCTTACTCGCGGTCCTGCGCGCAGGCGGAACGATTATGTTCCTCGACATGAACAATCCGACCTCGCGGAACCAAGAGATTCTGAACCAGCTTCGCCCCTATACTACGTTGATAGTTTGCTCTCCAGGAGTGGAGCAGTTTTGGTCTGCCGACGTGAAGTGCACTGTTGAGCTCGGGGCAGACCTCAAGTCGGACTTCAGTTGCGCGCTCGCCGCCTCACTACCGCGCAGGTACCCCATGAAACAGTCGCCTACCTGTTTTTTTACCAGCAGGACGAGCGGAACTTCAAAAGGCATCGAAGTTGAACATAGATCGTATCTCACAGCTGCACTGGCTCGATTGGGCCCATTCGAACGCACGGTTCGCTCCCGCGTCCTTCAATTAACCCCTTTCTCCGACGTTTCCATTAGCAATATGTGGACACACGCTACTAGCAGGCGGGGCAATCATTATGCCATCCAGGCGCTCGTGCCATCCAAGGCCGAGCGCCTGGATGACCTCGCAGGTGCGATATCTCGGTATGCCGCCACAGACGTCAGCCTAACTCCAACCGTCGCCACCCTGCTACATCCTAACCAAGTGCCGAGTCTGGAAGTCTTGGTGCTGGCTGGCGAAGCCCCCAATGAAGCGCTCTATGACACATGGCTTTCTACCCTCGTTCGTTTGTACAACGCCTATGGTCCGACCGAACGCAGCATTTTGGCGACAGCCACCCGTGCTGTTGCTGGTGCTCCACGTAACATTGGCCATGTCACTTGCGGCCACGCGTGGGTAACGCATCCTGAAAACCCGCACGTTCGCATGCAGCTGGGCACAGTAGGGGAGCTGCTGATCGAGGGCTCGGGCCTCCAACGGGGTTACTACCGCAACGAGCCAGCGAAATTGCAAAGCTTTGTCGTGAACTTGCCGTGGGCAACTCCAGGTCGACGGTTTTATAGAACGGTGACCTGGTCCGGGCGAACTTGGACGGCTCCACCTATCTGCGCCGCCGGGACCAACAAATAAAGCTAAGAGGCGTGAGAATCGAGGTGGCCGAGATCGAAACAAAACTGCTCTCGGCTGGGGCTGGTGTTGTCCATGAAGAATGTGTGGATATTGTCAAATTGCAGGGGAAAGAGGTCTTAGTCTCAATATGCACTGTGCGCGGCGATTCAGCTCAATCGCTGCAAACCCGATGGCACGTCCTCATCGCGCCTGTCGTTCAGGTCTTCCGCACCCGACTACCCCGATACATGATGCCGACACTCTTCATGGCTTTGCCCGCGCTCCTGGCAACAGTCACTGGGAAACGGGATCGAAAGAAGCTACGCAGTATTGTGTGCAATATTCCAGCCGATGAACTCCGAAGCTACACCGCTTCACATCTCGGCCTGCAAGCGAGTTCGCACTGTGAAAAGAGCGACCCGGACTGGGAATTGGCAACGCCTGAACTCACCCTTACACAAGCTCTTTGGATTGAAGCCCTGGACCTTGGCGCCGATAGCAAAGTGCAAATGAATCCCTTATCCAACTTTTTTGACCATGGCGGAGATTCTGTCGTCGTTATGCGCCTCGTTGCCCTTTGTCGGAGCCGCTGTCAGCGACAAATCGGTGTAGCCGACATTTACAAACGACCAACTTTGATGGACCTGGCATTTGCGCTGAGAGAATCAACTGACACTGTCTCAAGGACACCGTCCAGCCCTATCACAGCACCTTTCTCCATGCTCGGCCCATGGCGGCAGCATAATGCCGTTCTCGCTGCCCTCTGAACAGCAGGATGATGATCTGGTCAAGCTGATTGTCAGTGGTCCTGCGTAAGACAACTCAGGTGGCGGCAATACCTCCCCCTTGGTGCTGGAGATGAAGCCTAGCAAAGGGAAGCTTTCCATTGAGCAATTTTCAACGAAACTGTAGTGCCGCCACATCTGGTCAGCAATATGGTCTATACACTTTTTCACATAATCAAGCAGGTCCGCTCTGCAGGCACTGGCGCGACCCTTGCCGACATTAAGCTTTACAGTCCCTACCACCGAGACCAAATAGCGATATGGAACTCTTTCGCTCCAAAACACGCGCAGTCAACAGCGCCGCAGCTCATCTCGCACTGGGCACAATCAGCTCCAACTAAGATCGCTATCGAGGCTTGCGACGGCGTGCTGACGTATAGCCAGATTGATAAATATGCTTCCGCTCTGGCACTCCACATCCAGTCCAACCTCGCCTTGTCACCTGCCGAAGAGACGATCGCCATCTGCTTCTCGCGATCCCGCTGGGTGCCTGTCACTATGCTGGCCGTGCAGCAGTTGAAACGAGCATATTTAGCTCTAGAACAAAGCCATCCAACTCAGCGCCTCTTACAGCTGGTGCAACAAGCCGGAGCATAGCTCATCTTGGCCGACGCAAAGCAGGCAGATCGGTTCGCTAGGATCAGCGAGGTTCTCACTGCCGACTAACAGCTTCAAGATCGTCTTCTTGCAGTCCATGAGGATGCACGACCAGCCGACATTGCCATCGTTCAGCCATCACCACGATGGACAACCGACTTTCACGTGGACGGCGGCAATGACGCTCGATTCTACAAAGCCGGAAATATGGTTCGTCACGAGGCAGACGGGATGCTGCACGTCATTGGCAGTATCGACTCCCAAGCCAAGCTCAACGGACAGCGCCTTGAGCTCGCTGAGGTTGAACACTACATCTCTTTCCTTCTACATAGATGCGCGTAGTTGCTGAGATCATCGAACCGCAAGGTGGGACGCCAACGTTGGCTGTTTTCATCGAGGATCTTGACCCAAGTGTGATTCTGTCCAAAGAGGACCTTACATCCAAATTGCACGGTTGTCTGCCCTCGTTCATGGTCCCCTCATTATTTGTCCGCGTACATGAGCTACCGCAAACCTCCAGCAAAAAGACTAGACCGCAAGACACTCAAGGCAATGGGCTCTAGCCAGACTTTCCAGGAGCTCAAGGCGTTGGCCCTTGCTTCTGCAAATACGCGTCGTCCATCTATCACCACCGATGTGAAAAACCCACCGAAGACGCCCGCTGCACGCGTACTACAAAGCCTCTGGAAGAAAGTGGTCGCACTGCTGATGTCAGATATCGGAGTCGACGAAAGTTTCTTCGAATTGGGCTGGAACTCGATACAGGGTATGCGACTTGCCACCCTCATCTCTGCTGAAGGTAGACAGCCCATCAGGAAAAACACCTCTGCCATATTCCAAAATTTACGTCTGAAGGACATGGCGGTGCTTTTAGAGTCGCAAGTACTCCATGGTAGTACCAACTGCCCAACTGTCGCTGCTACTACTATCAGTCCAGAGCTCCTCGACTACTGTGCCACGTCCGTAGCCATCCCACCAGCGTCTATTCAGTATATATACCCCTGCACGCCACTATAAGAGCACATGCTCGCCGCATCCGCCGTGTCGCCAAATGCGTATGTGGCCGAGCACGTATGGGCTGTACCTCTGGACATCAATGTCAAGAGATTCAAGGATTCTTGGCACCAGACGATCGACCCGTTCGATATCTTGCGAACTGAGTTCGTGTCAACTCCAGCTCATGGTACACTGCAAGTTGTAGCGAGGCCCGCTGCTACATCAGCTGGTCTGGGTGTTTTTGAGGATGCATACTCGCACAGTGAGCAAAGATTGTCCTGGCTGAGACTTATTTCGCTCGATGACGGAGTGGGAAGAAGGCGGAAGCTAGTCTGGCGCGTCCACCACGCGCTCTTCGACGACTGGACCCTGCTCATGGTCCAGCAAACGGTTTCAGGCTTCTACGACGACAGTAAAGTTCCTGCTCTTGTGCAATTCAAGCACTTTATCGAGTACCTCCAAAGTAGCGACAGCGACACCTCTGGGGGCGCTCATAGCTCGCCGCTTCTACAAGATGGGTGATCTTGCCTGTTATGCCGATGATGAAACAGTCGTATGTTTGGGGCGTAAGAATGCACAAGTCAACTTGAACGGTTATCGTATCGAGACCGGCGACGTCGAGGCCAACCTACGCATGATATTGCTAGTCGAATACACTTAGGTTGGCAACTTCGATTGTGTTCGATGCTCCCAATATATTTGCATCGATCTACTCCGATACATTCCACAGGCAATCATCAAAAATATCTTGTGTCGAAGGGCCCGCACTCGACTCCAGATCACCGATTGAAACATCAGCAACGCTTTCGTCTTCTGCCATTTCGGCGATCAATTTGTCGATATCGCTCAGTGGCGCGGTCGAAGTCTCCCCTGATTGCGGTGACTTGGAAGGCGACACCTCGAGCCTTGCATGCAGTGCGCGGTCAAGCTGTCTTGAAAGTGTCTCCTTCTGCTTACTGTACAGCGCATAGTTACTGTCTGTGGAATCTACAAGGACTTCTAGCTCGGCAGATAGTGCGCTGAGCTGGCGGTGGAGTTCGAGCCACGAGAGTGGCAACATAACCGATCTGTTGACGGTAGGCATGTCCTGCCCGCCTTCTGTAGTGTTGGCCAAAGCATCGGCAAGAATGAGAGCACTGGGAAGGCCATAGAAGCAGAGCTGCGTGGCGTTAATAATTTCCACTTGAGAAGGTAGATAACCTGCCAGTGCAAGGTTAAGGGGCAAGTGATCTTACCATCAATGCCGTATCCGTCGATGCACCAAACCGCCTGCAGAAGACGCGGGCCGCATTGGCCGTTGTAGTTACCAAGGTTAGGCCTAATTTTAGTAGCTTTGTGTCGCCTCCGTCGTCTTTTCCAGATGTGTAGCAAAGGGCCTGCTGGGTACTGAATTGTAGGTCGAGGTATTCAAGGTAGAGGAGTAGGCAGGCAAGATACTGGTAGGGTGTGGACAATGTCAGATTTGGGGTGCAGACAGGGTTGTAGCAAAGATATGTGGGAAGAGCTTCCCACGCTGCTTGGATGCGTGACGATGTGCCTCTAGATATCTGAACGTCAGGTCCGTAGGAATACCACCATAAGCAGTGCTGGGTCTCACCGGATGAACGACTCGCTACTTTGCCCCGATGCTCCCAGCCTCACGCTGAGGACCACCTCCCTAAGTGTCGCAAACAAATAGCGTATGCGAAGCCAGTCGGAGGGAAACGATTCCTGGCGAATGCAGCTGCCTAGATGCGGCATATTGACGATCGCATCGTCCGGCGTGAAGCCGGCTGTTAAGACGTTCTCGTCGCTGATCTTGAGCGGCAGTCTGCGGTTGCAGTACTGTCGGGGCAGCCGTGGCAGTTTCCCAAGGACTCTGGACAATGACTTATCGGCTTCGTACATGCACGCGAACAGCCTGGTCTGAATTTCGCGCAAAAACCATGGCGTATCCGAGGCTTGCGGCATTTCCGGGTCTCGGTGAATGTCCATGGCAAATAAGTCGTTAATCAACCTGCCGGAGCGAGTCCAGGTACGGTAGCCTTAGGTGGTGTAAGTATAGGTATTGATCTTATACCGCGCCAAGGCCTGATGGATGTATGTGTCCTTACTTTCGTACCCGCAACAATTCCTCGTTAGGACAAAGTTCTCATACCGCAGCCAAAGGAGCACATCGTACAGATCATGGCATTGCTCCTTGGCGAACGCAATCGCCGCATCACTGGCACTCAGCATTTCCCCGGCAAAGGCCTTGCGGTCGAGGACGTCTTGATGCATACCCGTAGAGGAGAAGACGACGTCCGACTCGAGCAGGCCAAGAGCCGCGTTTCCGGCCACGCTCAGAACAAGGCCAATCGACTCAGCTCTCAGGTTTCGCCCGGTGAGCACCTGAAAGAACTCGGCAGGCTGCAATCCGCGAGGCACAACTAGCGGCTGCGAGCTCGCGTTCTGAATGTCTTCTGCTAGCTGGCTGAGGTCCGCGTCGGCAACTGGGGCATTGCCATCACCGGGAATGCACCGGTGGGCGGCTGATTCAACAGCAACTAACAGGTCCAGAAGGAAGGGTCTGGGTACAGGACAGCTCAGGCAGACTTGCAGCCATCGACGGACCAGCCGGCTGATGATCCTGATGTGCGGTAGGCGTGCGAGAACTTGGTGGAGCCGAATATCGATTGAGCTGGGGACAGGAGTGGGAAGAGAAGCAGATACCCGATGTATGGGATGGATCGGGGGGGTCAGCGAACCAAATGCATAGTACTGATGGATGTTGCCATCGAGGATGGGCGTCGGCAGGGCGCTGAGACTACCCATATCCATCAACGAAGTCACTGCTGGAAACACAATTGATGGCTGTGTCGAGCGGTACGAGCACTTGTGAGCAATGCATCTTGATCTGCAGCGGCCGCAGACAGGGATCCGGTGATCGCATCGCGCTTTCAAACGGCGACATGGCTCGCACGACCGAAGTTTGCCATTGCGGCTGAGCTCGTTTCTAAGTGGAATAAATGCTGATGTTACTAATGGTCCAGTCGTGCGGATCTCAGAATGGAGACTGAAGGCTTACATGGTCGTTTCTTCGGACATTTTTGTTGTTGAAGTGACAGAGCAACGGAGGAGAAGAGCTCACTCAGTTTTGAGGCCTCTCAGCGTACTACGGACTTCTACCCCGGGAAACTCTTGTGAGAGGAGGCTAACATGTGCGAGAAGCGGACTGACAGCACCTTGGAAATAAGTACAGCGGGGTTTTTTGAAATGGAGCCCCCCTGCAATATACTAGTGACGGATTTGGCAAGTGTAAGTGAACAAGCAGTGGTGTTTTTTGAGATAGTCATCGCATGCTCACCAGTACCATTTTGCCTCCGACTCCTTTATAGCAGTACCATCTTCGTCCGGGTACATACTATTTGGCATCCAGATTTCAAGGTATCGGAAAGGAGTCTTATAAAAAAAGAATAGACGTATATCGATTATAAGGTGCAGAAGGTATCGCTAATGTGAGTGCAAATGAATACAAAATTTGAAACTTTCAGGGGGAGAACAAACCAAAGCTTATCCGAAGTAAGCAAAACCCCCCCTTCCCTCCCCCCTTCCCTTCCCCGGCGGGCTTCGGGAGTCCGCCTTAACTCCGCCTATCTGCCCCGTAATTGTGCTTGTTAGTTATTGTCGGCGCGTACGTGCGCTCGCGTGGCTTGATGTGTTAGTTAGTCCTCAAATCAGGTCTGAGTTAACCCATGTAAGTCGAGTGGTGGGGGATAGAACCAAGAATGCTTTCGTTAGTATGTCCTCTAGCCTAAATTAGATATGCTTTGGGCCACTCTCCCTTGATCCTACTCTATTTTCTTTTCGCGAATCAAGATATCAATAAAACAAATGGGTTTCGGAGCTACGCGGGATTGCCGCATCATTAAATGAGACAAAAATCATCCCCCATCCTATCCCATAGGGGTAGGCGTAGTCTAGTAGTCTAGTAGACTAGAATTAGAACTTGGGCTTAACTAACGTATTTCACCAGTGAGTGGGCGACCCATAACACCATAGTAAATGACATCAATACTCGGCAAGGGATTCGCAGCATAGCTGTTGACACCAATAAGGGCTGTATGAAAATGCCTGTACTGAGGTTGAATTGGTCGGTGGGTCGCGAACGTTTAGAGTGGGCTTTATGTCCGAGCCCCGAGCCCGAGCCCCGAGCCCGGGTCCGGGCTCGAGTCCGAGAGCAAGATGGAACAGCACCTCACTTCAGCAGCTTGCCGACCCCGAGCTTTCCCTCCGACCTTTCCAACGTCATTGATGTCCGTTGACCGCGCATTCAATACCTGCAATTTGGACTGTCATCAAGATGGCTCAGGACCAGAGCTTTGGCAGTACCCGGTCAGCTTCACTCGCTCGTCGGAGCCGCCGACCTGCCCAATCCTGCGACCCGTGCCGCCGCCGAAAGGTACGTTGCGATCTCAAATCGCCATGTTCAGCCTGTCAAGTCTCCAGAAACTCGGTGACGTGCACATATCAAGGAGATCAGCAGCAACCCAGTCTCGCCCTGGAAGACCGTGGAAGCGAGGGCAATAATGTCCAACAACAAGTTCCTCGCTCGCTCAGCATTGCCCCAAACAACAACATCGATCACCCTGCAAAGAGGCAACAAAAAACGAATGAATCGGAAAGAATTCGGAGCGTAGAGCGACGTGTACAGCAGCTTGAGCACTCGGTTGTACCAGAAGTCGATCCCCCGCAGCACAGCCTCAGCAGCAGCAGCAACAATCATCTCACGCTGCTAGCATTGTCTGATCGCCTCCAACACGTCGAGCAGCGGCTTGCAGATCTCTCCCAAACTCGTCCTGCGCCCTCAGCTGTCACGGGCGATAAGTCTCTAACAATTCCGTCTGTCATCCCTCGACTTCGTCACAACCCGAAGAAGGTAAAACTGTTTCCTTCAAGCCACTGGCTGCACGCTGCTGAGAAGGTATCGTCGAAGCTCCTTTCTAATGAACACATTGACTGATTGGACATTGGCTGACGTGTCAATAGTTCAGAGTCAGCCATGTTGGAGACAGTGACGTTGAATTGACCTTCGTGGATACCAAGGCCGAGCTGGCCGATTCGGTGAATGAGATACGCAACTTGCGACTCACGATGAAAAATGAGCAGACACCGCAGATGGATGACCCCGTTCCTCAACTTCTGAGTACAATGCCGGCTCGTTCCATCTGTGACCGACTAGTGAATCACTACATGCGGACTTTCGAGTTGATCTATCGTTGCTTTCACATTCCCACATTCTGGGCAGAATACGAACAATACTTCAGCCAGCCGCAGCCTGTAGTTACAAACTTTGCAATCAAGTTGGGTTTGGTGTTGGCCATTGGAAGCGTCTTCAGCAACGACGACGACAAAGTTCTACAGCGCTCGCGGCGTACTTGGATACAAGCTGCTCAATACTGGATGGTTGGACCGTCAGAGAAAACTACTAACAATCTTGATGGAATTCAAATTTTCTGTCTTCTATTGGTTTCGCGGCAGATAACATTAGTCGGCCGTTCACCGTGGCTGTCGGAAAGTGGTCTACTTCGTGTGGCTATGGCTATGGGCCTGCACCGAGATCCACAACTGTTTTCTCTGTCTCCTTTTCAAGCCGAGATACGAAGGAGGCTTTGGACAACAGTCCTAGAGCTCGTAATCCATGGTTCCATGGACTGTTCCATCCCTTTGCTTCTTTCTTCAAACGACTTTGACGATCATATGCCTCTTAATGTCAGCGATGCTGACTTAGATTCTGCCAGCAAACAGTCTCCATCTCCACAACCGTTGACAAGCTATACGGAATCGTCTATACAAATTCTCATGCGTCAGTCCCTGCCGATACGACTTGAAGTTGTCAGGGCGGTCCAAAACGAGCGATTAGAGCACTCATACGAAATGGCCATTGAGCTAGCTACGAAACTTCAGACAGTTTGCCGTACTCTTGCAAGCTATTGTCGATCGCATTGGTCGCAATTCCTAAGCATGCATCACACTTTCCTTGATATGCAGATTCGTCGGTATATTCTGGTTCTGCATCGGCCTTTCATGCTACAAGCGCAAAAGGATCCCCGCTTCTATTTTTCCCGGAGGGTTTGTCAGGAGTCTGCAATGATTATCGCCACTTATGCCGAGCGACTTCGGCTACCTGCAGACTCTCTTGACGATCTGTCCAAGTTGATGGTGATGAGCACAGGGTCATTTCGCGGACCTTTGAGCCTGGACGTAATTTCAGTCTTGGGCTTGGAGGTTGTGTCTCAGCTGGAGGAAACGGGTTCCGGTCCGTCATCTGCTTCGGTTGGTCTCAACCACACATTGGTCCTTGATCCTCTCGCTGAACTGGCGCGCGGCCAGCGAGCGCCCATCATTCGACTTTTGGAACACATCAATGAACAATTACTGCAGATCGTAAAATTGGGCCATCCTACGTTGAAACGCTACATCTTTCTTGCTGGCATTCTTTCCCAGATATACGCCATGGAACGCGGCCAACCCATTTTGTCTGCTGTGCTGAACACTGCAAAAGACAGCCTGAAGGAGTGTTACGATGTACTACAGTCCCACAGGGCCGCCAACACTCCCCGAGAAGTGTCACAAGACGTGATCGATAATGGGCTTCTTGACGGCCTAGATTTTAGCGCAATGGTAAGTACAAATTACCAAATATGCGCCTCTTACATAGCACTACTGACTGAAGTCAGGACTCCAAGTACCTGGACTTTTCGGCCTTTTTGGTTCCAACTATTTGATAGAGCAAGTTCACAGGACGATTTACGTCGCGAAATGAAGATCGTGATTAATTGAGGTTAATTCTTTCCATTCCGTTCTATGTTCGATCGTCTCTGTCTCGGAAGGGCTTGCTTACAAAGGTGAGGTATAACCTGTTGCTTGAAGCAACACTTGTGATGCATTGTGCACCTTGTCCAGACTATCTGAGCGCCACGCTGAAAATCCATCAGGCCGCACGAGGACAAGACAAGCATCCCAAATTCGGAACGCATGAGTCATTCATCAAACAAAGGCTCTTTAAAGGGTTACTGTGCTGGCGTGCTGCTTCTTCAAAACTGGCCAGTGCAATGGGCACCTGACATTTGTCTCCGGCTGCTACTGCTTCTTTCTGCAGAAACGCGACCATGGTGAAACCTTTCCCGAATCCATCGGGAATGGCGCTGCCGTCCGACAAAGCCACATGCGGTACCCGTGAACCAGGAAAGGTAGTGGGGATGTAGTTGCGTCAGTCGAACTGTGGTGCTGCCTTTTCAACATCCACCTGCTCGTTCAGTACTGCCAGACTCGACTCGTAGCGGTGACCCATTTCAACGCCGAAGCTCTGGTTATGGTCATCGTTTTGCTGAATGTACTGATCGATTTCCTCACGCAGGGCTATGCCGCGCTCATCCATGGATTCGATGACGACCGGATCCAATTTCACAGCTGTTGAAAGCCCCATGAGTTTCATCATGTGGATTTTGCTCCAGTGTTGCATCAGCGCTGCCACAGGAAGACGTTCCTGTTCGTATGTCTTCGTCAAGTGAGTGCCACCCCAGCCTTGAACAGTGGCTGCGAGCTTCCAGCCAAGATCCCAAGCATCAATCAGCAAGGCCCATATTCATTCCGTGGCCGCCCGAAGGAATTGTCTGATGACAAGCATCTCCGGCAAGGAAGACGCGCTGATGATTTCCGCTCCACGTTTCGGCGAGAGGTACTGTCGGCGTGAAGATGGATGTTGCAGTGACTTCATCAATAGAAATCGGGTAGGGTGAGCCCATACCGCCAAGGACCCGGGCGACTGTCTTCTCGGCTGTCACATTCTCTGCATTGTAGTCAAAGCCTAAATAATCGTGGACTGTCCAGGTCTCCTTTCCGTCTTGCGCGATGATGGCGCCGCCGGCAGAGCCGTTATTGATTGTAGGGTCCGTGGGAAAAAAAGGTATGCCAAAATCGGCCCTGGCGATGGAGTCGCTCGAGGTCCTTTGACTTGAAATGGGTCAAGGCCACGGCTCGATGCCTATCGTTGTTGGAGTTAGCTTTCAAGGAGTCTTATTGTCTCTTTGGGCACATGGGCCACCGGAATACATAGCAGAACTCACATAGGCCCGCCTTCTAGCTCCGCGCCCAAACCTTTCCGCACCGCACTCCATGCGCCATCACATCCGACAACGTATGTGGAACGAATCGTCTTGCGAATATTCGATGCTCGGTCATGGACATGAACCTCGACTATATCCTCGTCCTCCACTAGGCCTTCCACGGCCAACCCATAGCGAGTATCGATCAGTGGGTTCGCATCGCATTTAACAGAGCAAGAGGACTTCGCCGTCGATTTTCCCGCAAGCTGTCCGTAGTCAACAAGATCGCAAAGCTTATGAGCTGTTCATGATGATATTACAACATGTCCATGACAAAATAGCTGAGTTGTGCAAACTGACAGCGGCGAGTGACGGGTTCGGCCTCTGGTATGTATCGAAGCCTTTGAACCGGATACAAGCTAGTTGCAAGCACACTTCATCCACTGCCGGACTTGTTTTGCATTTATCATGTCGACTGCCACATGAAGACCTTCTTAAGACCGTCGAGTACGAGCATATGTCGCTCCTTTACGTCAAGTGATAATGGTCAGCGTTCAGGAATTATAGCTTTCATCATCCGCCGATATACGGCACGGTTCTCATGGCACCGGATCCCGACTATCAGCCAAGCATCGCTCCTGCGGCTTTTGCTGCGGGCTGGCGCGCGAAGTTCAAGTCCCAGCCGCGTCTCTCAGTCGTCGCCCCTTCAGAGAGAAGTGATGATGATTGTCCATTTGAATACGAAGAACTCCTGCGCAATGGGGAAGGCCACCTAATGACTGACGAGCTATATCACGAGCCCCAAGATGATAGTGGCTGGGCCATGGGGTCTCCCGCCCGCTGTATGCTTACTATTCCCCGTGTCGATGATTGGCAGCATAGCAGTTCCAATGTGTCCATCGCGTTGGTTGTTACGAACATCAAAAAGTACGTGCCTAGGCACCAGAGCGAAACCCGTGAGCTAAGTCGTTACAGTTTAGACATCCAAATGCAGTCAGTACTGCATCTACTCTAGCAGACTCCACATCCATCCATTCTAACCAAGTTGTCTAGAGATATGGAGAGCCGGTTCAAGTGAGGACCTCTGGAATCAGAACATGCAGCGGCACGCAGAAAGAGCCGTGGCCAGTCGTCGGAGAATCCAAGTTCTGGAAAAGATGGTGGACGTCAGGCTGGTCGATCTATGAAGCGGCAAAGGAGGCGCCAATCAGCAGCGCAAAACAGGACTCCCCCGCCGGCAGACTTTGGGATATGGGCGTTGACAATAAAGGTACAAGCACATGAGATATCGGGGGTTGCCGATGGTAAAATACAGTACCATCTCCGTCCAAGCCATGAGCGGAAGAATCTCCACTACCTTGTCCGTCAAATCCACCTGCCCAACCAGGCAGCGCAATAGGTTCCATGTTAGTACTCATCTAGCCATAACGTGGCCAATCCCCATGACCTCCCTCGGCCCGTGTTCCCATAGCCCAGGCCTGCTGCGGCATGAATGATCCTCGATGGCCTTCGCGGTCTAGTCCGTACAGCTACCGTGGAAATCGTGCTCGTCTGGAGCTGCGGACCCATAGCAAACTCAATAAGCGAAGCGGATTGGGACGAAGCTGCGCTAGTATCTCCAGACTTAGTTGAGAAACAAACCCACAGCGGGAGATCGGGATACCTCGTCCGGAAGGCCATCATGGTCCGGCCCGCCCGTGCCCCTGAGTGTCGCCCCAGGATCCATGGCTCGCATCCATTAACCCGCAACCTGATCCTGTCAATAAGCTGCCATCCTTTGTTACCTTCAGCTGCGATTTGGAAGCTGTAAATATTAGGCCTACCAGGTGATAGACGGCGCCATGTACCTATTATGCGCAGTAATTCCGCAGCAGTATCATTTCCAATCCAAGATGGGCAGCAATTCTTCCCAATACCACACTTCCATTATTTTGAGAGCTCATCACGTTCGACCGTTTTTCGGATATCATCCGCATTATACCCCACAACGCCGTGGCCCATTGGCCAAAGCCCACCGGTCCAGGTATTCCGAATTCCTGTGGTGACCGTCACGAAGCTCCGGGGGCGGAGAATGGGTCTGGTTGGGTCAATCCATATCGAAGCCATTCCAAGTTAGGAGGGTTATTAGCGATCGTCAAGTCCTAACCGTGGATTACCGGACGGCCGGCTCTTGCTGGTCGGCACTTGGTTGGCCGACTTTTGGTTGACGTGCTCTTAAGTTTGTACACACGGTTTTGGGTAAGGAGGCATGTCTCTTTGGTGGAGCTCCAAGCTACTGCACAGCCCTCCGATACAAGGCTCACAAAAACATGTCTCCTCCACCTCCCCCACTGCTCTTTGAAGATCCCTGGAAGACATTGACAATAAGGCTGGATGGAGATGACAGTCATCTCATTGGAAAGGTGAATCCAGTAGACAAGAGACGGCCTTGTTTGGAGCTTGTCGAGGAGCAGGTTGTGTCTTTGATGGGATGGAAGGTCAAAACGACACTGGCATTGTCTTACCTGGGCCGTATGAGTGATCATTATCCCGGCAGGTCTCTCGATTTGTGACAGGACCGGAAGTATTGTCGAGGCACTCTTCTACATCGGGCAAAGATCGGTGATCTCGCAAAGGTCACACGAAACAGCCAGCTTGGCGAAGCGCCCTAGTGGGTCAGCTCATTTCAGGAACTGTCGAACGGAGGGAGTAGTCAAATATCACTAAGACCATTTTTAGCCAATTCCCCGGTACGAGTGTGGTATTCGGGTTAGACTCGGGAGTAATACCAAGACGAACCCTCGGGGGGGGGGGGGGAGTCAACCACTTCCATCAATAATCAATCAACCATCACATTCTGTTGGACATCTTCAGTAATAGCCAGTACATCGATTCCTCATCCTGACACAAAAGAGTAGAGAGTACCATTATACTCAGAATAGGCCAAAGAATCCAGAGATATCAATATTAGGAATAAAAAAGTGAAAATGGAAATCACTATTTTACCCTGTATTCCCTATATAAAGTCTAATCTGGGAGTTTTCGACCACATGTATATACACTAGTTAATACTTTTTGGGAATTTCGGACCATAAGGACGACAATCTTCAAAGTTGAATATCTTCGTCAGGAGGTAAGATAAAATTCCCAAAAAATAGTCATTAGAGAACTTCCTTCTTCCTTTATTTTCTATGAAAAGAAAGGGCTAGAATAGTAGGTTTTGAACGATACCTAACAGTCCCAATTTGCCTTAGAGAATCTTGAGCAAGTCGAAGCCCACCCCAACGTCCTGTATCCATTGCTTCCGTCACCACCGCCCGAGCCGTCGAAGTATGCCTGTTGACTACTGGACCTAGGAAAGAGCTGATTGTTGAAGCTGACTGGCATTATGGCTGATGACTGCAAAATGCTAATGGTATGGCGTCCGTGGAACGTTCGTCAGTTGCTGCCTGGATTCTTGCTGCCGCTCATGTCCGCAGGATGCACATTGTTGAGGATTTTGACGTGGCTCATTCGAGTCTCTAATGGACGTCAGTTGATAATTCTCGACTTGACCATAGTGTCTTGGGAGTACCGACTTACTGAAGAAGCTTCTTCGCGACGAAGTAGCCAACAGTGCCGAACAGACTGATCTTGAGAAGCGCCATCCCTCTTCTGGGTCTGTATGTTTGCAACGGAAAGTTGGCTCGAGCAAAGACTTGTCTGGCATGAAATCGATTGAATCGGTGAGTAGGATAGTCCATGATTTGTTGTTGAATCATTCCTTAAAACCTCGCAGGTGGACGACGAATGTTTATAGGTAAAAACATCCAAGCCGAGTCCGTAACTCCGAGGCCGATCGGGGTCGGCTTTCCTTTTGAATAGCTCGGCCGCGGACTCGGCCTCGGGTGTGCAGCAGCGCCTTTGCGTACATCACCAACGAACAGCATCGGACGTCCGATCTTTTACTCGACGTCGGGAATTGCTAGCAACAGCATGTATGCCCGACCTCCTTTCATATGCAGAATTTGGCCTCGTGCCAGAGGTACATAGCACTGGCCATATTCCTTAGAATCGGACTCGTTATTCCAATCGACGTCACAAGCACAACTATCTTTTGCGCGCCCTATCAAGCACACCCCAGCAACTATGCACGACGACCGCACCGCTGAGCTCGAGAAGGGCAGTCCAACCTCTTTAAGACCATCGAGTCCAGCGGAGCCCAAGTCTCAAGCACCTGGCCCACCAGCAGCACCTGAAGGAGGCACAAAAGCCTACCTATCGCTACTCGGAGGCTCCTTGGGTCTTTTCATCTCATTTGGATGGGTCAATTGCATTGCTCTGTTCCAAGCTGAATATGAGACCCACCAGTTGAAGACCTATAGCAGCTCGGAGGTGTCCTGGATCACTTCATCCGAATGTGAGAGCCTTCTTCCCCAACGGGCCGTGAAACAACAAGCTCATTTCAATCTAGTTTTCTTCATGCTGTTCATGTCACCGTTGTCCGGATATCTATTCGACAACTATGAACCACGATTGCCGATCTGTATCGGTGGATTGATCCATGTGTTTGGCCTCATGATGACCAGCTTGTCAAGCAAATACTACCAATTCTACTTGGCACAGTCGATTTGCTCAGGAACCGGCACATCGCTCATTTTCACTCCGGCAATGACTTCGATTTGTGTGATCACTCTTGGAATTTATCGCGCATTTTCTGACAAGCTTCACAGCCTATGACTTACTTCAGAAAGCGCCGCGCTTTGGCAGGAGGATTGACCGTTGCAGGCTCGAGTCTGGGTGGTGTAATCTTTCCCCTCATGGTCAACAACCTCCTTTTGGAGGTCGGCTTTACATGGACGATGCGAATCTGCGCTTTCTTGATCCTTGGGCTCTGGGCTATTGCCATGCTCACCATCTCCTCCAACTTGCCTCACACTCGCAAGGAGTTCAACCTTGCGAACTACCTTCGGCCTTTCACGGAATTCAACTTCTTGATCTTGTTGACGTTCTGCTTTTTCCTTTACTGTGAGCCGCCTATCATTATGTTTCATCGTAACACAGCTAACCAGGGTTTAGGGGGATTGTTTGTCCCTTTCGACTACCTTGTCCTATCTGCTATGCATAACGGAATGTTATGGAGTCCGCAGGCTGGACATTGGAGGATGTTCATCGCTCACAAACTTCCGTTCATGTTGGTGCCGTGAACGCTGATTATACCGACATACAAAATCGAGACACGGAGGCCATGTCGAAATATAACGCAACTGGAACGGCGCGAAGCATCTTATCAAATCGTGTCTCGTACGTCTTCGACCTCCACGGCCCCTCGGTCACAATCGATACTGCTTGCTCCAGCTCGTTGGTCGCTCTCCACCAGGCAATGCACTCCTTGCGCTCGGGCGACTGCGATAGCGCCATCGTTGGCGGCGTGAACCTGATACTCGATCCAGCGATGTTCATCACTAAATCGAAGCTTTCGATGCTTTCTGCCGAGTCCCGCTCCCGAATGTGGGACCAGGCCGCCAATGGATATGCTCGTGGTGGGGGCATAGCTGCCATGATCCTCAAGCCGCTCAGTCAAGCGCTACAGTATGGAGATCCGATCCAAGCAATCGTACGAGCAACTGGTGTCAACTCGGACGAGTCAAAACTGTCATCGGCCATACCGAGGGCTGTGCGGGTTTGGCTGGAGTCTTAAAGGCAGTCCTCGCAATAAGGAATCAGACGCTCCCGCCGAATCTGCTGTTCAATCAACTGAGTGATTCGGTCAGGCCCTTTGACGGCCCCCTGCAGATACTCACCACAACATTGCCGTGGCCTGATACCATTTCTGGAAGTCCGAAACGTGCAAGTGTCAACAGCTTCGGTTTCAGCGGTACCAATGCACATGCTCTGATCGAGGAGTATAACCCTCAGGTCGCAGAGCGGTTACCATGCAGACCAGGCTCTTGGTCCGCTCGTGATCTCGGCCCATTCGGGCCCCACTCTACTGAATAAGGTACGCGATTTGCTATCTTACATGATCTCCAATCCTTCGGCGAATCTGCCCGATATCTGCTGGACGCTGCAGACCAGACGTACGACGCACAAAGTCCGATCCTATTTCAGCAATCGCAGGTATCAATCTCTGTTAGACAGCTTGGCTGCATTCGTTCAGACAAATCAAAGCCTCCAGCCAGAGCAAATTGGGTTCCAGCCGCAACTGATTGATGGTAATGAGTCACCTGGCGTCCTCGGCGTGTTCACTGGTCAAGGAGCCCAATGGCCAACTATGGGCATGGAACTCTTCTCTCGCGTGGCACTTTTCCGTCAATCCATAAAGCAGTGTGAAGTCGTGCTCAACGCGCTTCTGGATTGCCCCTCCTGGTCTCTATGTGAAGAACTCGAAGCAGGCAACGCTTCTTCCCGCCTTTCAGAGGCGACTGTAAGCCAGCCCCTATATACTGCAGTACAGATTGCTTTGGTGGATGTGCTGAAAGCAGCCGGCTTGAAATTCCACGCCGTCGTCGGCGATTCATCTGGAGAGATAGCTGCAGTCTATGCTGCTGACATGTTGAGCCTCACCGGCGCTATGCAGATTGCTTACTATCGAGGTCTCCATGCTCATTTGGCCAAAGGCGATGACGGCCAGCCCGGAGGAATGCTTGCTACCGGCCTCTCTTACGACGAAGCTTTGCAGTCCTGCAATCGACCTGATTTTCGAGGAAGAGTTTCTGCGAAGAAGGAACTCGAAGCTCGAGACGTGTTTGCTCGCCCATTACGTGTTGACACTGCCTATCACTCGCATCACATGAAGAAATGCGGTGACACTTATCTTCAGTCGTTGCTTGCTTGTGACATTGCCGTCAGTGCTCCGATTCAGGATTGTGTCTGGAGCTCAAGTGTACGTGGTGATACCGATATCCTGGAAGGCGATCTGTCCCCGTTGAAGGGAGACTACTGGGTCAAGAACATGGAGCAAACGGTTCTGCTTTCTCGGGCTCTTGAATCGGCTATCACCAATAGAGGACCGTTCGATATGGTTGTTGAGGTTGGCCCTCATCCTGCGCTCAAGAGTCCTAGCGAGGATACCTTGAAGGGAGTCTTCAGTTCTGCTCCCCACTACACTGGTATTTTGAAACGTGGGCAAGATGATTTGGATGCAATCTCATCTGCTCTTGGTCTCTATTGGTCTACAATGGGGTCGAAATCAGTAGATTTCGCCGGCTTTCGTCGTGCATGCCTTGGCAGCTCGGAAATCGGACAGCCTGAAGTGATAACGGACCTCCCTTGTTATCCTTGGGATCATACATAGTCATTCTGGAGAGAATCTCGTCTATCATAGAGATATCGACTTGGTCAGGACAGCCCTTGCGGGCTCCTTGGTCGCCGTATGCTGGACGATGATGCACACGGGCTGCGATGGAGAAACATCTTGACTCTCGACGAAAATACATGGCTCGCTGGTCACGAGATCCTTGGCGAAGTGCTCATGCCTTGTGCAGGCTACATTTCGATCGCACTTAAAGCCGGTAGGCAGCTTACAGCAGGGCGCCCGATCTCTCTGCTCGAGGCACGAGATGTAGAGGTCCGCCCCCCAGTCGCTGTGCCTAAGCATCCCGACTCGGTCGAAACTATGTGCATCGCTCGTGTGCAACCTTCGCAGGACCGTAACATCATCGAGGCCGAATTCGATTTCTGTTATTGGCCCAGCTCTGGCACAGCAACAGTGCGGGCTTGCAGTGGCCGCATTGTGGTTTACCTTGGCGATGGCAAGGAGGAATCTTTGCCACCTCGACGTGCCTCGACAACAAATCTCTTAAATATATCGGTAGCCGATGCTTATGACGTCTTCAAGTCGATCGGCCTCAATTATCAGGACATTTTCAGAGACATTAGTAGTATCGATCGCGGGTCTAATCATGCCGTTATCCAGGTCGTCTGGGATATGTCCAACCTCGATCAAGTGTACCTCATCCATCCTGCCATTTTGGACGTTGTGTTCCAATCAATATTCCTGGCCAAGTCGTATCCGGCCAAATCGCTGATGCATTCAGCTTTCCTACCGGTCAGAATCGCGCGGGTCACTGTTAATCCATGGGTACCTGTCACGAACACGACTGGATCGATAGAGATCGGCACGGAGTCGTTTGTCACACACAGCGATTATCGCTCCATTGAGGGAGACATGCACGAGTACAATCGCGCAAACAAACCATTCTTGGAGGTAGAGGGCCTCTCTCTGAAGATGAGCCTTTCACAGTCCGTTTCTCAAGTGGCTTTGGTTCAGCTGGGTCTTTGTCCACCTGGGATCTGCCCAGCGTTGAGGCGTCAGCCAAGTATACCAAAAAATCATAGATCAACTTTGAAGATGAATATCTCGTTGAATAACGACGGTACGATGCCTCGTGAGCCTTGGGCACGTATTCCAAGCAATATCATGGAGCCTTGGCTTCGAGAGAAAAGACGGAGCTGAGCTCGGATAACAAGTCGCTCTGGCTCCTCGGCGAGCTCTACGAGCCCAACCAGAAGACAGGCTGTCAAAGACCATTGACAGGGATGTCGCAACTTCTTCTCCTTTCATGAGTTACACGACAGGGTCTGATAATCGAGCTCGACATCGCAGAAAAAGGATGTTTCTCTCGCCCAAGAAATTTGCAGTGGATTTGTCCGAAGTATCCCAACGGTCGCAAGTAGGACGGACAAGGGCTGAGTGTGGCTAGGTACTCACTTATGATCAGTAGCCATGCACGGCGGCAAGCGTGATGATTGTGCGACAAAGTGGCTGTCCGTACAGGATCACAGGGGGATGTTATTGCGCATGGCTAGTACGCGAGCTTGGAGCCGCGAATGATCCACCGTGTCACAGCTCAGACCGTCACGGGGGATTTGCGTCGAGTGCGAGCGCGGTGACAGACACAGGAATTGCGCCTTGCAGATGAACCTGGCCGATGTGCACGCAATGCCTCGTCTGGTGCAACTTGCTCGAGCACCACCGGCATTGCGCGTCACTACCACCAGTGATCGATTGGGGGTGCCAATGTGCTGGTGGAGCTTCAAGTGGTCTCATTATGGATACATTGTAGAAGGGTGCTTTGGGTCTAGGACGATCAATATGAGTGTCTCTTAGATGAATACCTAGCTGGCTGCAATATACCCTCTTTCTTTCCTGTCTTTGAGGAACGATGTATCATTCTCAGGGTCCAAATTCCGTTTCCTCAATGATGGTGGAAAATTTGCTAAGGACTTGCTTCAACGCAGGCCTTCGAATAGGTTTACTACTTTAGTCAGCAGCAGATCGAACCTTGCAAGCGTCCATGGATGTGCCTCGTTAGCACCAACTGACCTCATGAACATGTCCATCCCGCAATCAATGCAGTCCTTGATGTTGCTTTCTTCTGCAAATGCACTCAATGCGACAATGGGTGCAGAATAACCCATCTGCCGTATAAGTCGGGTGCTCTCGAGACCATCAAGGATCGGCATCTGTATTAATTAGTATTTTCACGACTGCGCGAAAACAAGCTTCTTACTTGGATGTCCATAAAGATTAGATCAAACACATCTCCCTTCTCCATATTCGATTTGACAGTGTCATATGCCTCCTGGCCGTCTTTAACAATTGTTACATCGTAAACCTCCTCCAGCGCAAGCATCCTAGCATGCAAGTCAGCATTTAGAATATCTCACGGAGAATTCCATTAGTGCGCACCTTCGAACTACTTCCTGATTGACGGTGTTATCTTCAGCAATCAACACACGTATCCGTTTTGAGCCATCGCCCTTGTCGTATGAACTTTTATTGGATGGCAAATTGCTAGGTACTGACGCAGGAGACGATGGAACAGTCGGTGTGAAAAATGGTTGACTCAATCCAATCAAACGTGGTTGTATCTCCGACTTTTCAAATCCAGGCGCAGGGGGTTCGCTCCTCACTGACCCATGATTTGAGGGTGTGCGCGAGGCGTTGGAAAATTCTTCCAAGGACAGAACACTTGGGGTCCGCGATCCTGGGATGCTTGAAGCATATGTGCTCGGGGCCAATTCTTTGACATATCCCAAGGAGACTCTCAAAGTAAAAAGAGACCCTTTGCCTTCTTCACTATCTAGCAGAATGTCACCTCCCATAATTTGGGATAACTGAGCACAAATGCTGAGACCCAGACCAGTTCCCCCGTATTTCCGGTTCAATCCCAGGTCACCTTGAACGAAAGGATCAAAGATACGCCGGTGGAGATGGCTAGGAATACCTGGCCCGTTATCTTGAACTTCAAATTGAAAGTTAAGTTGGCGAAGATTAGACTGTGACGCTCTTTGCTCTTTGGTTTCATCCTCAGCCATATCCACAACGTCATGGATCGATAAGTTGGCACTTGAGCCGCTCTGGGACCGTATTCGTGAGTTGCGTCGAGACGTTTCTTTCGAGGTCAGATGGGTTCCAAGTTCCAAAGGTTCATCCACGAGGCGGATGCGAACTTCCACTTTCCCATTCTCGGGTGTAAATTTGAGACTGTTGCTGACCAAATTGATCAGTACCTGGAGGATTCGATGTTGATCACCCCAAAGGACCATGTCTGCGAGTCTGCCAGGCTGCGTTGAACCAAACCCTGAATTGGTCTGTTCCAATTCGCTTTCGCGGCATAGAGTGCCTTTTGGCTCGGTCACTCCGCCAGAAACAAAGTTGACGCTGAAGTCAATCTGTTTCTCATGGACTTGATTTTGGAAGATGATGGCCAGTTGCGATCGAACATCAGATAACTTGAATTCTTTCTCCTCGATCTGGATAGCCTGGTCAAATTGATTCTTACTGAATGTGAGCAAATCGTTCAAGAGGTGCAAAAGAAGATCGCCTGACTGATAGACCACCTGAAGCGACTTTTTGATCCGGGCCAGGTCCTCCTCGCCCATACACACGGCACACATGCCAAGAATTCCATTGAGGGGTGTTTTGAGCTCGTGGGATATGTTGGCGATAAACAAGGTTTTGCTCTCGTTAGCAGTCTCTGCGGCTAGTTTAGCATGTTCGAGCTCTCTAGTGCGCTCAGCCACTCGCTCTTCTAGCCGATTGTACTGGATTGTGAGCTCGTCCGACATCTCATTGTAAGTTTTAGTCAACTCCGTAAGCTCGTCCGTTACACAATGTCTTCTTTCTTTGACCCGGGCCGGTATCTGAAAGCCTCGGGAATATTTTGGATTATTGATGCTTGTGGAACTGTTGAATCGCCCCAAGGGACGTTGTAGTCGTTTCACCCACATGCTAAGGGGGGGTTTCTCATTCATGTGTTCCACAGTTCGCTCAATTGTATCCCCCTGTTCATCGTCGACTTTAAATCCAACGTGTTGTGGCTCTGCGGCGGTATTGTGTGGTGTAGTCTCTGGCTCCACGGATTTCTGGGCTGCTGCGCGGAGTCTTCGGATAGGGGCAACGGCCCAGTGGGTTAGAAGAGGGACCACGAGGATAATGGCACCCGCTGTGCCAAATACGCACGCAAGAATAATCTTGCGTAATCGGACAACTCGCGCAAATGCTTCCGAGTGAGTCTCTTCTACGAGGAGAATCCATTGGACAAGAGTGCTTTGAGGGCGGACTGCACCTACGGCAACATCCGCCCCTCGCTCGTTTCGGGTTGACAAGTGACTAATGACCCTGTTCACGTTCGAGTATGGTTGCAACACCAGTTGTAGAGCTGTTGGGTACGTAGAAAGGATAAACGGCATATCGGTTGACATCCCACTGTGCCGGCTAGCCTGGGTAGGCAGAGTAGGCTCGAAGATGTAGTGGACCTGCGCTCCACTAAGAGAGGCTGCACTAGCGGCAAACGTGGCGGTTGCGGGATGCTCACTGGAAGCAAAAGTGTTTGTTTTTCGTGAAGGTCCAATGAGGAGCACCTGGCCGGTATTTCCTAGCCCATCTCGCGAACTAACAACACGCTGTAGATTCGTGGCACTAGCAACAATACTGGGGGGGGTGATCAGTTTCAAGTCTAGCCTTTTCCTCGCCCTCGGAGAAGCTACTGACGTTATGAAACCCAAAATTTCTGTATCTGAAGTGTTGTTGACAATCGGCAAAGTCAATGACACAAGAGAGAAGGAGTTGTTGACTTTCAATGGACCAAGAAGCAGAGCCGAGTCCAAACCAAGTGTATAATCAGGGAATGGATAGACAACCGTTGAGTCGTTGTCGTCTAGCCCGCTAAGATAGGTCAGATTTGGATACAGGGAAGGGGGGTAGCCCAGCCCATCATTTCCTAATCGCACAGAAGTCCCATTCGAGTAGGTATATGGAAGGGTGATGTCCGGCACACTGTCACTGGTCTGGTTTAACAAGGTCTGACCTGCTCCTTTGCCATCCTTCGAATATATGATGGCCTGGTAAAGGTCCAAGTATCCACGACTACCTAATGCAGATTGGACGTCGACGATTGGATTTGTCCAGTTCTCGTCAGACGTGTTTCCCGCATAATAGCGTTTCAAGGCTGATTGAATCAGGATTCGCGTGGCGATGAACTTGCAGCTTGTTTCGAGAAGGTCCAAATTCGAAGCAATCTGACTAGCCTTGGTGGTCGCAACGAGTTCGAGGCCCTGCGATCTGCTCGAATGTTAGATTTTGGCTCTGCATATTAAGAACTAGCACATACTCGACATCGACTACAAAGTTGTAGGTGGTAAACCACTAAAATAGTCAGACTCGGCTCTCATTCGTGCGATTGCAACTCTCTACCGTTGCGATGGCTAGCACCGCGACCCCCGAGACCGCAGTTAGCAACACCAGCAGCCCAAGCTGCACAGCAATGGGAATCCTCATCCGATCACATAAGACCAAGGATGGGTAAAATTGATGAGTTTGTCTGATCGCTATCACAGTCAAAGGACAGATCAATCGTAGAAAAGACCAGATACCTGTTGAAAGTCAACGTCCGTGCCAAGACCCTTGTTTTGTGACACCTACATTAGTTCTTCAGTTATTCCAGGTGTTCTTTGTCCTTTTTTTTTATTTTCGATATTTTTCGAGTTCTAGAGAGAAAGCTGAAGAAATAAAGTGAAAGTGGAATGGAAACTTGAGGAGAAACGAGGATAAAAGATAGGGGAAAGCAAAAACCGGTCAGAAACAGTCTAAACGGGACTAGATGCATCGAATGCGGCATAAGCAGGATATTTTTGTAAACTGACACACGACTTATCCTCTTTTACATGTTATGCTATATTTATTTAAGAGAACCCTTAGCTTTCTAACGTGGAACTTAGTCCAAATTGCCGACTCAAATTCCAACGCGATTGGACGCATATTGTAGCCGACATGTCAGATTCGATCTTTCCATTAGCTACATCTTTTTTGTTTTTTTGGATTTCGTCAATTTGATAGAAAATTTGTGCTTGCGGGGAAACAAATCTCTATATAGTTATTTATTTATACGGATTTTGACCTAAGCGAGTACATGGAGAGTACATAGCCAGATTAACAATCTATATACAAACCGTCAAAGTCTTTACCCACTCGCTATTTCCGCACCAAAACTGACTGAGTTTGAAACCGATTCTCTCTATGAATTTATATGGCAATAATTCTTTAAATACTTTTTAATAAAATATCAGTATCAGATTGACAAAATATTACTTTCTGGATATTCTAATATATGTGGCTGTTAAGTGGTAACTGATTGAAATATAAATATCAAGGTGAACCTCCGTTATATATAGTAGCTCTCATACTAAACTCGCGATTGAAATCAATTGTTAAGCTTTGAAAATTGACCACTATTTATCTAAAATACTTTCTCACATAATTTATATGTAATTTACCCTAGGTTTGAAATGATACTGATTATAAAAATAATTAAAAACTATGTTGCTGTATAAATTTATCAAGAGAACAGCGTTCAAAGTTGGTCAGTTTTGGTGCGGAAATGGCGAGTGGGTAAAGACTTAATAACCCCTACGTATACTTCGAAGGAAAATCTCACTCACAGGATCAGACTAGACCAGAGAGAATAACATAAGGGCAATAGCAGATCTAAACCACTTCTCAGAGGATGATTCCCTCCATTAACCTTGGTAGTGCTGCCTGTAGCTTAGGGTTTTAGTCACAGCCTGATTGTTGGAAGTGTCGCTGGTAAAATACAATATTGGAGTATCGTCTGGAATAATGCAGCTCCCTGCCACCATGTTCCATCAAGTTTGCCCGGAATGTGGCCGGTGATGTTGGATGTGTACGTCAACATGGTGTTGAAGGCCGCAGTCGCTGCCACATGCCTAATAGATCTTGATTGCGGAGAGGCGTCTAATAATCGAAGTAGCAATGGTTAGTGTTCAACGAGGAAAATAACACAGCCATTTTGACTACTAGACCGTAACAAAACCTTTAGTTCCTGTTTAGGGCCAAGGGGGTCCATATTCCTAGTTCGACATTCGAGCCTCGAATGATCAATAAACTCAATAGGCACAAAATACTACATCCCTCAATCTATGTAAGGAGTGACAATAAGAGCAAAGAGGAGAGAAGAAGGATTGATTCTCTACAAACAGAGGCTAGCTAAATAGCGAGATGGACGCCCGACAAACTAGGCATCAAAACATCAAGACAGACGATCCGTCTCAAGAAGGATATGCCGACATTTTACAAGAAGTATAGATATTTAACAAATTCACAAAATGATGCTCCATAGTAACCTTGGAACATCTACTGGGTGTAGCTGCAGCCATTGGGGTTCGAGGTCTCCACGACACGAGCGGCAACGCCCACACAGTCGGTGTTGCCAGCAGGGTTGGCAACGCCAGCAGAAGCCCAGATGCTCCAGGCACCGTCAATGCTGTTGGGGCAGGCAATCAGATCGTGTCCGTCGAACTGGAGGTGGCCATCCTTCTGGGCCCAGCCCTTGCGCTCGGAGTTCTTGGGAGTGGGCTGAGCACCAGTGGTGTATCCAATCTTGCCCTGGCCTGTATTATCAAAATCAGTTATTTGCCAACCTAGTGGGATTATGGAAGTGATAGCATACCCATGCCGGAGCGATCAACGTAAATCTCCTGGGGAGTGGCGGACTGGTCGTAGAGGTACAGAGCACCGTCATTGATGTAGAAGGTAGCCTGCTGCTCCTCAGGACGAGCGCAACTGGCACCCTGGCTAGGCAGACCAGCGAAGATACTGCTCTTAGCAGCGTTGAACGCAGAGTATTGGACACCGCTGCCAGAGTGAATAGCCACAATACCGAATGTCTTAGACTGGGTGGAAGGGGCGGCGGCCGAGGCAACAGCACTGACGGAAGCAGCGATGGCGAGGTTCTTGATCTGCATATTGGCGGAGAAGGGAGATGAGAAGATTGGGTTGAATTGAAAGAATTGAGAGGATTAGTAGTTGATATTACTTGAATGCTGAAATATTTCCTCTTCTTATAGTTCCCAGGTGAGCGCCACTGCCGTCGCCGAGGTTGATGTCTCAGTCATGGAGACTATTCTCGAAGCCAAAGCATCGGACTACATCAGGCTACAGCATCAATTTCCCGAAATTGACATCAGTGTGACTATTTTATGGGGTAATATTGCCGATCTCTCTCATTATAGTATGGATGTCTTATCCCTGAGTACTCTGTTCTCTGTATCCGTATAATATTCCTAGATGCAGATTCATTTATTCGAATCGCTAACTATATCTAGGAAATAAGCACTTTTTAAGTCATTTGTATGTTCGGAGTATTTACAGCAACCTCAGGTTAATTCTCAGCTTGGAATCCCCAACCAAAACACTTCATATTATTACTCCACATTTTGCTCATGTTTCTCCGACTTATAGTAGTACCCACGATATCCGAATCAAGGCCAATCAGGGTCTAATTACTTTATGCACTGGAGAAACATACCATATAATAATAGGTGTACACTATTTCAACCGGTTTTTCTGACTTGTTTTCGGGCGGACATATTATTAAGGCTGAGAGGGAGTCGTCAAGGTCCCTTAACAACCTTGGAAGTATCTATAAATAGAACTGGAGTAGCTCACCGCTTTTCCTTCGAAATTCTTTGCTTCTATCTACTCCAGGGGCAGAGTATGTTGTCCTATGTGCATTTCAAGATCATACAGAGTAGTGTTCGTCAATCCTGGAAAGAACCTTTGTTATCACTTATAAATATTGAATGGGATGGATACTATAATACATATACAAATTTCGCTTCTTGCTCCGGATTCCATGATGAACCATGAAGATGCAACGCCTAGAAATGAATTTCCCTTCTCGAACCAAACCAGGATTCAGGGACTAATTTCTGTACAAGCACCAGCTTGAGCACGCTCATTACTCATGTTGAGATATGCTAATAACCCAAAAAAAAGGCAATTGACCTTACTCGGGAGCAGCGCACGTGAAGACACCACGAACTTCTCCTTTGTCGTACTTGATGACCTAGTTGAGCGAGTTAGCAACACAAGTCCTGTCACAAGACAGACTATCATGGAACAGAAACTTACAATGTCATCAATGCTAGAATAGGTTCCTCCGACAAGTACCACCATACCGATTAGGAAAATCACGGCGTTGAGGAATGCCAGCATCATGTTCTTGGGCTCGCTCCAACTGCCTTTCCGAAGTAGCAGGAACCACATCATGGCAGGGAAGTAGAAGGTGAAACCGGAGATGAAAAGAGCAGAGGAGATTGAAAGCAAGTCGTTGAAAAAGGGAATCACCTCGGCAATGATAAATGCTACAACTGTGGCGGCGGTGATCACCGCCAGCCATGTCAGCCATCCCATCTTGGTGTTGATGAAACGGGTGGGGGAGTTGGCGAAGATACGGCCATGAACCAAACGCCCAAATACAACGGTATTGATCGAACCACTGATGAAGATCACAGGGAGAGCAATGCCGTATGCAACGCGGCTGAGGGTAGTTCCAGCAGATGTGAGTGCAGGGCTGGACACGTCCTGGCCAACAAAGGCATAGATCGTGGCACCAGTCACCGTGTAGATGATGATCTCGGTGATACCTAGCGCCCAGATCGACTTAATAAAGTCCTGAGGAGTGTGCATTTCGTCCATGAAGGAGAACTGGCACATGGCAAAACTGTAAGCGAAAACGATGTTCGTCACAGCGATGAAGGCCTCGGTAAAGGTGATGTTATCCTTCGGCCACGCAGACCATGCGACTCCGGAGAGTCCGCCGGGTGAGTCAGTCGCCTGCACACCCGTACCGATAATTGTGATTCCGATAGCAATGATGATGGATGCAAAATCGACATAGCCCAGAATGGCCACCTCGGTGAAACTAGGCGGGATGGCAAGTAACAGCAGGATGATGGCGGAAACCACAGCAAAAATGATCGAGCAAATGCTGGTTTTGGTGATGTCGAAGAATGCGATGGTTCCCGTCAGACAGTGAGAGGCCGTGAGGAAGATTAGTTGGAGGCCGAGCATGCCATTGACTAGCTCGTATCCAAAGCGACCACACCCTAACCGATGACCCAGCAACCGACCGGCATCGGCATAGTTTGCAACCTCGGGGAAGGCCAATTTGACCATTCCGACAATATAACTGGTATAGATGGCGATAAGACCGATGCCCACACAGCAAATCACACCGGGGACCATGCCTAGTGTTGCAAAGGTGGAGGGAATCGACAAACTGCCCAGTGCAATGGCTTCGACGATGAGGACAATGGTGAGTCGCTTCCAGCCGAGACGGTTGAACTTCTTGATGCCATGGTCATAGATGTTCCTCTCGGCCTCGCTCATTTCCCCGACTATGTCCCCCTCGAACGGCGGTGGGGGAGCATATGCGGCCTTCTCGCCCTCCGTCCCCATCACCTTGTTGGTATCATGGTCGTTAGAGATGTTTTCGAGGCCCATGATGGTGTTGGAAGTTGAGGCTAGTCTGCCAGGCGGAAACAGAAGGGAGGGAACCGGGTGTATAAGAAGGCAAATTTCGCGCACTTCAAATACGAGCACTATCAGGAGGTAAAGCATGATTTCCGTGACTAAAAAAGTTTTATGAGATCTGCTTGGCTGCTCCAACACGTGGAGTACGACGCCGACCCACTCATGTTGGTCGGTCACCCAACGAGATCACCGGAAACAGGGTGGAAGTGGGCGGAAGTGGGATGACAGTGGATTTTCAGGGCGAAGCGCAGCCCAGGGCCCCTGTTTAGTGTTCATTTTGCGATAAGAAGGTTCGGAACGTTAGGTAAAAGAAATGCAACATTGGTGTAATACGTAGCTCGAGGGCCACTTTGAGGGCCACTTGAGGGCCATGTGCTTTGACAATGGCACACTATGGAGTTGTCTCCCCGCGTTACTGATTGCGGGGGGAGGTGACTTCACAAATGAGTAGAACAAGCATATTGAAAATAAAGAACAATGGTTATAGAGATTTAGAAGTTTTTCTTCTAATGGCGCCACAGAAGATCCCGAGAGCCGACTTGCCAATGAAAGACTCGGGTGTTGGCTGGGCGGGCGATAAGATTTTTTTGGCAGGGTCACGTGCTAGCTGCGAACAAAGCATATATCAGACAACCTACTTACATTTGTCCTATTTCCATACACACCGTACTTATCTATCCCTTACAGATTATACGAAGTACAAGGTTTGAATACCTCCGGTTATTCCTCTATCCTACTCTATACCATGCGAAACAACTCCTCTCCTCCAAAACCGACACCACTCTTGGAGTATGTGTAAAAACCTGGAGATGCGGAGCGCCACCAACGCCATTTGGCTTAGCGGCCATGGGAAAATAGCGCAACTATTGACTTCATGATTCGTTGTCATGCCCGAAATCTGAAATGGGATAGAATGGGTCCTAGAGACGGCTGGTCATACTTTGCAGACATCTTAGACATCATTGCGAGAAATCCCCCAGTCTCCAACTCATCTGTGGGACTCCCCCCCCCCCTTCCCTCTGTACTCCATACGTAATGAACTCAATTCCCCAACTTTCGCATCTATAACGTTGGGCATACTCCGTACTATGTGCCTACTTCATGATCAAGTGCTAATATCTGCAGACTAGTTTCTCCTTAATAGAGACTTGCGCTAGAAAAATCCATACACGAAAGCTGCGGGTCATCTCGGCCCATGCATGCACTATCAAAGCTGAAACACGGCACGCCCCATGCGCTATTAATTGTTGGGAGTCTCTTCTGCCCAACATATACTATATTCTTACTGAATATTCTGGTCATATAGACGTTCGTGCTAGTTCTACGTTTTCGCGCGCGACCTCTCTCGGCCGTAGCGATCTTCGTTCAGTTTGCTCATTCCACACCACCGTGTCAATGACTAGGCACTCCATGCGGGGCACAACGCCCGACCGCGGTATTCGTGTAATGTGACGTCCAAACAGAAGGGAGACGACTTCCTCAAGCGACTTTTCATACCTACAACAGGGGCTGTGCCAGTAATCTGACGATCGTACATAAGCACACGATCCAGGTGTGTGTTCCCCGTCCCTATCGCAATCATCGTCAGCACACGAGAACGCCCATTATATTAGATTTTCACACTCAAAACCTCGATGAAATCGTCTCTTGCTATTTACAGTACTCGGCTTAAAATCAATCATTATGAAACCCAGCCTATTCTCTTATATTTCCATCATAATCCCGCGCGATCACCCTTTTGTATCGAGTATGACTCGCTTAACACAATCTAGTCAACAGACAGGTAGGAGAGTGATAGGCCCTGATTAATCCCGGTTTCATTTCTGGGCCATGGAAGCAAGATTTCAGGAATGAACATCTACTATCTCGTGTCTCCTGATTCTATGCATACAACATAACTCATCGGTTCTACTTTTCCTACTTTTGTTACTACAGTGAAACCTCTGGGCAATTGACTCAACACTAAAACCTCACTACCACGTCAATTCTCTAGCAGGTCTCGACTAGCATGCTTGCTTCAAGCACTCGGTGATTGACTTTCCAACGTAATCCACGTTTTGTTTATTGAGACCAGCAATTGATATGCGAGAGTTGTCTGCCATGTAGATGTGGTATTGCTCTGAAGTCGCCATGTGTCAGTATTTCACTAAAATGGTAATTCCAACGACAGAACGAACCGCGAAGTCTTTGCACGACACTTGGGGACAATCCCAGGAATCCAAACATTCCGGACTGGCGGATGAGGTGCTCCCATGAGCCAGGTGCACCTAGTCATGTTAAAAGATCTTTGATCGTCTACTCCTGAACAGGCAGTACTTACCGGAGGACACCAGACTATCATACAATTCCGATCTCATGGAGCGAATACGGCTGCTCATTGTGATCAGATCATCATGCCAAGCCTCCCTAAGGGTAGCGTCAGCTAATATGGTGCTCGCAATTTTGGCACCATAGGCTGGAGGGTTCGAAACTTCAGAACGTTGAAGCATTTCAAGCATTGACTGGGTCTTTACAGCTGCTTGTTCGGTGCTAGTTGCTAGTAAAAAGCAGCCGACTCGTTCCCCTATCAAATGTTATTGACTATCATTTTGACCATGAACTAACCGTAGCACGGGTAGATACCATAGAGACCCATGTTTTTCGCAAAGGACAGACACACCCCAGCTTCCAGGTTCGTCTCCTCGATAAATAGTCGAATGGCAAAAGCATCAATTTCCACAATGCCGGAGTTGAACCCTAGATACGCAGCGTCAAAAAGTGGGAACAGCTGCCTTTCTTTAAAGAGTCGCGCAAGTTCTCGCCATTGCTCCTTGCTCGGATCACATCCTGTTGGGTTATGAGCACATGCATGGATGATAAACACAGAATTGGGCTCGGCCAATTTCAATGCAGAATAATAAGAATCAATGTCTAGATCTTTGGTCTCTGGGTTGTAATATCTGAAAGATTCACATTGGAATCCAAGGGACGAGAACACCTGATGGTGGTTCGACCAAGTCGGCTCAGGGATGTATATTTTGGGAAGATGTGCCTTGCAAGCTCTTAGCAACAGTCCAGCCAAGTGTAGTGCTCCAGTACCGGAAAGACTTTGGCAAGTCGCCAGCTATTTGTATAATAATCAGCTTTTTTTTTCTTACAAAAGATTCAATGTTGTGATGAGCATGGAGTTGCCAGTACTTTGTCCTGTTGCTTTTGAAATAGCTCTGGGCCCAGTGCTAACTTCGCAGCCTCTTTACGGAAATCTGCCAGACCGGCAATAGGGAGATATTCGTGATTCAACTTCTGTGATAGCGACTTCCGACTATTCCTGACCGAGGGAAGAACCCACGGGTTCCCATGCTCATCGCGGTACGTACCCTGGCCCAAGTTGACTTTCTTGGGGAATTTATCTGCAATGTACTGAGCAGTCAATGCAAAAATTGCATCGGGTGGGATGAAACGAGCCTGGTCAAACCAGGACTCAGTGGGAATGTTCCGGATGATGGTTTCAGAGGCCATTGTGTAAAGCCGGCTCGATTTAAGGGTGTGATAGAGAGATTGCATGGTCAATTTCGGGGTCTTGTTTATTATTAAAGAAAACTGAATGATATCATGCTCGGGCTCCAGGCCGAGTTGCCCCCCCCCCTCCCCCCGACCCGTACTTGCACAACCTCCTAAGTATATGATATTAGAATAATACGTATATATATCTCGGAAATAGGGCCGAGTCAAACAAACCAGATCCAACCAAATTCACAAATTAAAAAGAGTTCTAATTCGCTGATCGGGTGGAGGACCCGGGAGTGGACTCATTTAGGTTGTTGATCTATGTACAAGATTGGCTTCGTCGGTTCTGACATCCGACATTGGCAGTTCCATTGTCGAAACAGCGGCCAGATAGCTTAAATGAATCGGAGATATAGCCGTTTTGCCCCTCACTTTGACCCGAGAGGGGAAATATCTTATGGGATATGAATATCTTATAAGAGTTAATACCAGGACTACTAGAACTCCTAGAACTACTGGATTTGTACATACTTCGATATATACTTCTACAACCTCTACCAACCTCCACAATGGGTTCTCACACCGTTTCACCTCAACCTCATGTCCCTTCATCGGGAGTCTGGTGCCCCGCGGTCACTTTTTTTCACCATGACACCGACTCGTTAGATCTTGACTCTCAGTTCAAGTACTTTGCCTATCTGTCCAAAACCGGACTAGCGGGCCTAGTGATCCTGGGGACCAACTCAGAAGCCTTCCTCCTCACTCGGGAAGAGCGATCTCAGCTCATCTCAACCGCACGAGCCGCCGTTGGGCCTGATTTTCCACTGATGGCCGGTGTGGGCGCGCACTCGACCAAACAGACCCTCGAGCTCGCACAGGATGCCGCTGCCGCCGGCGCCAACTACCTTCTCGTCCTCCCCCCCGCATACTTTGGCAAAGCCACAAACATGAACGTGGTGAAGCGGTTCTTTTCCGAAGTGGCAGCCAAGTCGCCTCTACCAGTGGTGATTTACAATTTCCCGGGGGTGTGCAACGGGGTGGATATGGACTCCGAGACGATTACCGCTATCACACGGGAGTCGGCATTTGCGCACGCTAGTGGAAAGTCCAATGTGGTCGGGGTCAAGTTGACCTGTGGATCGGTGGGAAAGATCACTCGGCTGGCTGCAGCGTTTGCGCCCGAGGAGTTTGCGACTTTTGGTGGGCAGTCCGATTTCCTGATTGGCGGGCTAGCTGCAGGTAGCGTTGGGTGCATCGCCGCCTTTGCCAATGTCTTTCCCAAAGTGACGGCTCGGATCTATGCGTTGTATCAGAAGGGCCAGATTAACGAGGCCGTGGAGCTCCAAAGGAAGGCGGCGCTCGCAGAAAGTGCCATCAAAAGTGGCATTGCGACAACTAAGCATGCAGTCGCATGTTACTCCGCCCCGTTGGCAGGGATCCAGGATGCAGCAGGTAACCTAGCCCCTCGACACCCTTACGAGGCGGTGGGAGAGGGGGCCAAAATTGCGGTCCGAGAGGTGATGGCTGAGGTCGCTGAGATCGAGAAGAGCTTATAATTGAGTTAGACATGTATCAATGAAAATGAGCCTCAATTTTTAGTATTGGTTTTTTTTAGGGAGGATGATTTATTGTGATGAAGAAGAGTGTAATGGTGAGATTGGTGGGGGGTGTGTGTGTGTCAGGAGGAATTCAAGTAACTAGATTTGACCATCGGCTTCAGAAACTGTTTTACATTACATTACCATCTTCCTGCACAGTGCAACCACTTCTTTACCTTTCTCTTACCAGTACCATACTAATTGTGTAACATGACCACCTACCACATAGGGCTCCGCTGTTCTCTTAAAACTAATATATTAATATATCAGCGCTAGTATACATATGTCGGTACATCACACACATTCTAATCGGCCCAATCAGCATTTGGGACTCAGATATCACATCTACAACAGTACATAAGTACTTTGATGTTACCTTAGGCTATAATATCGTATACCGGTACTTCGCTCCCAAATATTAGAGATGTTATTATAAATAGAAAAGCCAGAACGTACATAGAGATGTTGGATATACAGATACAAGATGCATAATGATTTATTAGTCCGTATATAAAGGTGATATAGCCCCAATGCATAATATTAATTTATATTAGTATCCCAAATATGAACCTCGGCTTAAAAGAAGAAAAGAAAACTCTTCCAAAACATCGGCCCAGCCGAGAAATCGATTACTGATCGGGCCGGGACTAAGTGGAGATAGTCGGGATCTCGAAGATATCAAAAGCCAATGAAATGTCTTCGGCCTATATTTTCTCGATTGTTATGGGTTGTTATAGGTTGTTATAGGTTGTGATGGATTAATATCAGCTTATTATTCTATGAGCTCTCCCCCCCACTACATCTAAAACAAGCAGTCTCTCCGATATGAAGTCCAGTGGTACTACATATAGAATAAAACTAGCCCTACGATCCCTTTTAAGGAATTTTTTTTCTTACTTTTGTCATATATTATTCCGTACCTTATATCACATCCTACGCAGATCATACATTGCAGATCCCAGATCTACCTCTCCTAGTTAGTTCTGGAGGTAATTTCTGAGTATCAACAATGGAGGTCTCCGAGACTCCCAACTCTCTACAGTTACCAAACTCCATCCCCTTCTGGCGGCTCGTCCTCAATCCCGGTGCTATAACCCAAGAGGTCGCTGACCATCGTTATGCCGGCTCAGGGACCGAAGAAGATCCATATGCCGTGGAATGGATGCCCAAGGACTTTCGAAACCCTCTCCAATTAAAAACATCCATGAAATGGTTCATCACCGTGGTCGCCGCTATCGAGACCTTAGTCGTTGCCCTGGTCTCGTCCGCCTATACTGGTGGTCTCGTTCAAATTCAAGAACGATTCGGCGCAACCACCGAGGTTGCGACCTTGGGAGTATCCCTCTACGTACTGGGATTTGCCCTGGGTCCTCTGATCTGGGCTCCGATGAGCGAAATCTTCGGTCGCCAACTTGTCTTCGTCACCACCTACTGCGGTTTGACCATTTTTTGTGCCGCTTGTACGGGCGCGGAGAACATCGCGAGCCTACTGATCTTCCGATTCTTATCCGGTGCTTTCGGCTCCTCCCCCCTCACTAACTCGGGTGGTGTTATCGCCGATATGTTCATGGCTCGCGATCGAGGACTGGCCTTATCGGCCTTCGCGTTAGCTCCATTCCTAGGACCCGTCATTGGGCCCATCGCCGGTGGCTTCCTCGGTATGTCCGGCGGCTGGAAGTGGGTGATGGCTCTCTTGGCTATCCTCTGTGCTGTGATGTGGATCTTAGGAGCCGCATTGAAGCCTGAGACCTATGCCCCGGTTCTTCTTCGTCAGCGTGCAAAGACTCTCTCCAAGCTCACTGGTCAGGTGTACGTTAGCAAGTTAGATATCGACCAAGGGCGTCCCACTCTGAAAGCCGCCTTGAAAACATCTCTCTCGCGGCCCATGATTCTTCTTTTCCAAGAACCGATCGTCCTGCTACTCTCGATCTATCTTGCCATCATCTACGGAACCCTCTATATGCTGTTCGGCGCCTTCCCGATTGTGTATCAGCTCCATCGTGGATGGAATCAAGGTGTCGGCGGCTTAGCTTTCATCGGTGTCATGATTGGAATGATTGGTGCGGTTACATATTCAATTCCTGAAAATAAGCGCTACGCAAAACTCCTTGAGAAGAACGGTGGCTATGCGCCTCCAGAAGCTCGCCTTCCGCCGTGTATGCTGGCCTCTGTTGCCCTCCCTATAGGACTCTTCTGGTTCGCATGGACTAACTCTCCATCCGTCCACTGGCTTGTAAGCATCGCCGCTGGAGTTCCGTTCGGCTTCGGCATGTTGCTCGTCTTCCTCAGTGTTTTCAACTATCTGATCGATGCTTATACCATCTTCGCGGCTTCTGTCTTGGCAGCTAACACGCTACTGCGGTCGTTGTTTGGATTTGCATTCCCGCTGTTCACCAAGTACATGTACGAAGATTTGGGAATTCATTGGGCATCGTGTGTTCCGGCTTTCTTGGCTCTTGCATGCGTACCTTTCCCCTTCCTGCTCTACAAATATGGACTGTCCATCCGTAAGCACTGCAAGTACTCTGCGCAGTCTGAGGCCTTTGTTCAAAATCTTCTTCGGGGGATGCAAAAGACCGCCGAGGAGTCTGCCGAGATTAAGCCTGAAATGTCCCCACCCACATCGGCAAACGATGCAATCGCATCGCTCCCTCACAGCAAGGAGACCCCCACCGATGTTCGGTCAATTCATCACACTCTTTCCCGCACTTAAACCAATGCCACGCATCCCATTCATCGGGTGCCCACATATGAAGCCAACCCGTACAATGTCGACCGCGTTCATACACGGGAGTCGTTCAAATAATCCAAGCCATCGATCATAGAAGGGGGACATGGGGTTTTGGGGGACCTCTGGATATATCAAGAGGAGAAAAGTCCAGTCTTTTGGGCTTCATGTCTTCCAATGTTGCACTGCTTCGTATTTTACTCTTTCCTTTTCTTTTTCTTTTTTTTTTGCTTTTGTCGGGCTCCATATACCATAGATCGCGTTGACTACTAATTATAATTGCACTTCAAGATTTCCTGATCTTGTCTTCAAACTTGAGAGACAAAAGCACGATCAAATTCGAACTATACATGTCCCCAGCTATACACAGCAAATTCCTCTGTACTGTTAAGATACTTGTATAGTGATAATCCCGACATGTCTACTCCGGTATTACGCCCATCGAGCAAAACAAAAACCTCTAAAAGAAGTTCTCAAAAGAACATGTAGAAAAGACGTCGGAGTGTTTCCTTACATATCATATCATGTCTCTAATATAATTTTTGAGCTAGTTAGATAAGCCAGGTTGTTAACAGCCTCACATTGTTGAAGACACAGAGGCCACATTGGCAGCCGCCTACTGTCTTGAGAATAGAAAAAGTAAACAGTCGTCAATCCGTTATTCTTGATACACCAACCTCATCACATGTTTCCCGTGTTCAATATATCAAGTATCACACATTCAGCAGATATCAACAATGAACTGTAAAAGCAACCGCTTTTAATGCACACCATTGGCCAATCCATTAGTTACCCCGTTGGTCAAGCCATTTGGCATTCCATGGGTCACTCCATCCGAGATGACATGTTTCACCCCATTAGTGAGTCCATTAATTTTATCAAGAGGTACTCCTGGTGGCACTCCGACAGAAATGGTGCTCTTTTTCCGGGGTCGTTCCGGTGCGGTCCAGATAGAACCATCATCGAGCAGCCCCTGGCCCAAAGCAAGCACCTTGGACGGCGCTTCGCCCAACCATTCAGTCTCTAACCGGTTGATGTTCTGTTCAATTTCCCAAGCACGGCCACCTTCAATGAACATTGACGTGCCGTTGAGGGACTGATCAGCCAAGACTCCGGTGGCAACGGTAGCAACCTGCTCGGGGGTATTGATGGGAAGTTCGGCCCGCTTCCACTGTGCCTCAACTTTCTTGATGCTATCAGTTTGAGTCACCCAAGGGCAGACGGTATTGATACGAAGGTAGTGTTTGTATGGAGAGGAGATGTAGGTGCGTAGGGAACGCATGAGGCCAGTGACGCCGTGCTTGGAAGCTTGGTATATAAAAAGAGACGGGCTTTCCTTGAAACCAGAGACACACGAGAATAGGAGAATCGACCGATCACAGTTGGAACCACGGTTATGGCGTAAGTAGACAGAGGCGATGCGGGTAACATACATAGACCCAAGAAGATTGACATCCATGACTTTGTGGGTGGGGGTCTGGAAGATCGTATTGTCAGCCGGTTTCCGAAAAACCGAAAGAGAAGCTCGGCCAAGCAACTGGGGTCATTATCTAACTAGCAATAGCTTACCCGGCGGACGGTCTCCAGCGTAAGTGAAGTATCGAACCAATTCCCTATTTCCACGATACCAGCTGCCGAGACGACGTGATCGATACGCTTGTAGGTCTTAAAGGCTAGATCAAACAATGCCAACAGCGACGGGTAGTTGGTGACATCGGTGGTCTGGAAAATCGCGCGCGGGGGCATGTCTTCTTCCTCCGGATGGAATTGGTCGCAGCATTTCTTCAATAGACGCTCGCCGGAGATGTTATCGAGGTCACCAATGCATACATTGGCACCACTCTCCAGGCATTGTGTCACCAGGCTCGAACCAATGCCATTGGCACCACCTGCATAAGATGAGATAAGATGATATCAGAGAAATTAGCAGTAGGGTTCGACAGACCTGTGATGAGAACGACCTTTTTGGCAAGGCAATTAATGGGGATGTTGGGGATATACTGCGACATTAGGGGTAGATCAGTGGGGAGATTTGGGTAGATCAATAGAGATAGATGATCGTGGGGCTAGGTACAGTAGAGGGATTTGTAGATAAGCAAAGAAAATGCTAACTGCGGACCATAAGCTCGCTTTTATATGTGTTAGTTGCCTTGTACAAACACAGGGGTCAAAGTCAAAACGTCTTTCTAAAGTCGCAATCAAGCCCCAGATGTTGAGAAGAAGGAACCGATCCGTTTGGATGATACAATTCCTAAGCCGTGGTATCCTAGAAATCCCAGAATATGGACACAGCCTCGGAGACGACGGTAACTCAGCCGAGGGCCAAGGACGCACGTCCATATTATCTCCATCAAAGGCTTTTGCACAAACAAATGAGCGATTTGTTACACACCCAGGCTGATGGGAAAGACCAGTCATAAAAGGAACCATATGGGATGATGCGGAGAGGCGTTAGCCAATGACGCTGGTGTGCAGATGGAAAATGCGAAGCCACACAGACGCGGGAGAGAACCAGGCTAACACCTGGGCAATTAGCATTGGCTTCCTTGACGTTTATCAGGGGGTATCTCGGAATCCTGTGGTCCGAGGTTTGTTTGAGCCGTCTCCTCCAAAGCCCCCGACAGCCTGGACACATGTTGAAAGGTGGGAGTGATGCTCGGCGGAGAGAAGGATAGGATTCAAAGCTGTGTCTGCTCCACTTTTCGGAGAACCGGATTCATGTACGATGTACTCCATACATCGTACATCGTACGAGGAACTGGGGTACATATGCGGGAGCGGCAAGTCGGGGAAGAGGGGAAAAGGGGGGAGGGGAAGGACAAAAGTACAGGCAAATAGTAACAGTCAAAATCATCCTCATAATAGTCAATAAATTAGTGTCTATCGTAGATGCAAAAGAAATCCGACAAAAATGCAAAAAAAAAAAAAAAACCAAATCCACTCTTTTCCAGTACATATACATGCCCAAAAAAAGAAATCATAGATGCCATTGCGGCTGCAAACATGGGGAATACAGAGCATGAAACATCAAAGCAAAATCCCTAACAAAAAAGAAAAAGAAAAAAAAAACAGAAAAATAGGACCAAAAATAGGACCAAAAATACCACCGCAAGCCAAAGGACGAATATTTACAACTGGCTATGCCTAGAATGGTTTTAACGGCGAGAGACACAGCACAAGATACCGGACTTGCCCAGGAACCAGAGGGATCCAATAAAGCGGAAAATCGACAGACCGGCGGTCGTCCACAGAATAGCGGCAAAGTATTTGGAAGTGCGGACGGTAGAAGTGTTCTATGTATGTTAGTAGACGCCACAGCCTAGAGTTGGACAAGATACTTACCGTGAGACAGAGACGGGTAATTCCTTCACTGGTGATACACAGTGCAAGGATCAGGTTGCTGAAAATCCAAATCAACACCAGGTTGGTTCGGAAAGCCTTATAACCATCGTCCATGCTTGGTTCATCATTATCTTCAGGCTCAACATACGGCTCAAGCGCTCTCTTGACCGTCGATTCAAACTGACTATCGATATCGGCTTGTGGCTTGTCGACTTCTTCAATGAAGTTTGACTTGGCATCATCCTTCTTCGTCTCAGCGACGGGAAGCGAATCACCCTTATCAGAACCCTTGGTACCCCAGGAAACGTCATGCCAGTTGCAGAAAGCGTAGACCATCAGAATGTTGATCGAACATGTCATTCCAGCAAAGTACGCCCAGGAAGAGGTGAACATATGCCATGGATCCATGTACAAGAAACTGGCGAGGAAGTAGATACCGTAAGTCGAAACCAAAGCGATCAGGACAATGCCGGCCCCGTCAGAACCGAAGAAAGACGAGAGGAAGTGGCCAACTCCCTCGTCCAGAGAGAAATCAAGGGTACCTCCAGTGAAGGCGTTCTTGACAAGGTAGAACGATAGAACGATGATGTAAGTTTGAAGGATACTGAAGTAGATGAACGAAAGCGTGTATGCAAGACGCGAACTGTTTAAAAGGTCAGATTGACATTGTGAGGTAATTCCTTCAGATATTGACTTACCCTTTCGGTCGATTACCTAGCGCCAGAATGAACTGCAGCATCAAGAAGAATACGTATCCATACTTTAGGAAGTTATTCACGATTGGCGAGGCTTCGTTACCAAACGGCCATCCCTTGTTCTTGTTAGAACTACTAGGAGTTCCAACAAGATCCATGATGACAGTAGTAGTCAGCCAGAACGAGGCTGGGTAGTCATGAGTTAGTATAAAGATTCACCAAAGAACATGAGATTCGAGACATACCGAGAGAGAACCAAGTCATGACAAGACCCATGAAGTTGTACGTCATCTGGATATGGAGGAAAAACAGCCGGAGGATATTGTGGCCACTCTTGTAAATCCGCCCGAAATGCATCATTGCATATAAACTAGCAGCGAACGAACCGTTCAACCAACGACGTCGTTGACTGATAAACTCGGCTGCACCCTCTGGCACATCGGTCTCGCCCTTGGACGCCTTCACGTAGGTTAGGTGCCATTTGAATCCAGCCTTTGCCACAAGCTCAAAACACAAGATACGGTCCTCAGCAAGGAACATATTCTTTTTGAAAATGTTCATGCCCTCAATACCCTTCTTGCCCAACTGCTTAGAGAGTGTATGATCACCGTGGAAATACTGCTCCAAGGGACGACCCATAATAGCGCGATAGCGGTACGCAGAGAAGGCACCCGGTAACACGCTAACGTACCCGAAGGCACTCTCTAGCGGCTTGTCAAGAATATTAGATATCTTGTACTCGAAATTCTGTGCGGCGACGAGGGGATTCATCAAGTTCTTCCATCCTTTTCCCAACATTGCATGAATCTCACCGCAAGATCCACCCAAGTTCTTATCATTGTAGAAGGACTCCCACAATGCAAGAAGTGATTTCTTTCCCGGCTTAGTTCCGGCGTCGATTAGAATCACCACTTCGGGGTTAAGGATGCGACTGAAACCGTTGAAAAGCCAGCGGTGCGAGTTGATCTTTTTACTGTTCTTCTGCTTTAGGCAGAAAATCATTTGAACAGGAGGAAGGTTTGACGACTCGTTGCCCTGAGGCCGGATCAATTGTTGGTTGGATGTGACAGAGAGTTGGGTAGTGTATTCAAACTAAGTCTTGTTAGTGGATTTTGGTCGACTATAAAACCCTCGGGATAGAGGGATGGTAGATTCTTCCTAGACGAATCGAGAAGACTGTGGGAACTCACGATGTGTGCGACGGTTTCCCGGCCATCGACGGAGCGCTTCATGATGCCATCTTGGTAGATACCAACTGTGGCCAACAAATCGAGGGTATTTTTGTCGCAAGGATCAATACCATCAAAAACCAAGGAGCACACAATCTTTTGCCAGGCCGGACCACCCTTGTTCCAGAATTCTGATTTTTTCAAATTGACGATATCCCGAATGTTTTGCATGACACCGTGGAGCGTCCGCGCGGTCAGAACTTTATCTTCGTTGTAATAGGTGATGGCAATCAGAAGCTCGGTGTGTCGGTTGTACATAGCCGGTCGCAGATTGTATCCGTTACGTAGGGTGAACTCGTCAGGATCACAGGTGGCCGCAGTGTCTGTATGCGATTAGCTCCAGTCGTATATTCAATATTTCATGTGAAGACTTACAACGCAGATGGGTGAATTCTTCCGGGAAACCCTCCTCCGATTCCCGGTACTCCTTCTGAATCGCGTTCTGAATCGCACTGGGGACTGGGTAGTCGACGCTGAGCACAGAGCCCTGGACCAGCTTAATCTTTCGCGTAGCATAACGCCGCAGGCCAGACCCAGGTGCTTGTCGGTTCTGCCAGGCTTCTGATGGAGTCTCGGACATAGGTGATTGAATACCCGAGCGACGGTTGACTCCCCCCGCGGACTCCTGGTATGGACCATCGGGGAAGATGGTGACTCCGGGATCGTGTAGAGTGTAACGACGGAGGGAATCGGTCGAGGCATATGGGTCATCGAAGGAAGCGTTGAATGGGCTGGGTTGGTTTCGGTATAGCAAAGACTGCTGGCTGTCGATGTTCTCGGGTTTATCCTCGTAGCCGTACGCTTGCTGCTGAACGAACTATATTAGCATCTTCTGCAGTTTTGATGGGTCTTTTCTCCATGTCCTTTTTTTTTTGTTTTTTGTTTTTTCTTCGTTCTAGGCTGCTTGTCACTCACCTCTCGTGGACCATACATACTAGCCTCGCTAGCCTGGGGTGAATGGGATGAGTTGCCTGAATGGGGTGAATGAGGCGATGTGCCTCTCGGGGGAAAAGACATGGTTCGTGGTTCCCTTGTTCTCCGGTGGTAAAATTGGAACAGAGGTCTAGTGTGGTGAGATAGGTATCTCAAGAATCAAAAGAAAAGATCCAAGGTTAGAAAGTTTGCAATCCCAGTCGCCTCAATGGCAACAGCACAATAGCACAGCAATGATCTAAGCTTAAGTTGAAAGCAAGGCGATCTCAGAGATCAAACCTATCAAGACAATAGACGTAAAAGAGAGTGGAGGGTTCAAAGAAGAGGAGAATCCAGAATCCAGATGCCAGATGCCAGGAGATATTTTTGGTGCAGAATTTGATTGGAGGCAGCGATGCGGGCTGTGAAAGGGCGAAGGGTGGAACCCCAGCGCATCAACAATTGTTCGTCATCCACCCTTTCTGGATCCACCAGCCAAGGGCATACTTTGTACTCCGTGAGTATTACCACTTTTCCCCTGCGTATGCATACGCATAATCGTTGGGGGCTGCAGAGATGGAAGATGGACCGAATGATATTCCCCATTACGGAGTACTTTATCTCGATATCCACCGTATACTCCTATCCTCCTATACTTCCCTTCGTATAGGTATGAATTTTTGGACTCCGTGATCCGAGCCTTGCTGCGACGAACATAACTCGTCGAACATGTAAAAAGCTGCGGGTCGACAACGCAATGCACCATAACATTGGTCAACAAATGTCCCCTATGACCCATCACAGGCTCCAATTAATATTTTGTCCATCTTCCTTCTACCATCCGAAACAACCCCTGAGGGATCCTGAATCACCACACAGAGTGATTCATGCCTCACCAGACCTGCAAAGGCCTCTCTGCCAAGAAATCACATCGTGGCGGCTGGGGGTGGCGACTGCCCCCCCCCGGGGGGGGGGGGGGTTGGATGACGACAAGGCGTCAGGAAATGATCGGCCGCGTCTTCTAAGGGGGCTGAATTCGGAATCTGCGACTGGCTCAAGGGTCCACATATCCGGCCATTATAAATTGGGTATGTGGGGAGTAAAACTAAAAAAAAAGAAAAAGATCAACGCTACCACAGCAACAGAGAGAAATGCCGAATGTTTCATGTATCACGTGCTCCAAGATATACGTGTACACAACTTATTATGTAGCCAAGGTTGCATTGGGGTATACCTAGGTAGTTACAGGGTTAGTTATGTAGTTAAGTATTTATAGGTATTTTGTAAGTACTGTTGTACATATATAAATACAGTTACCTTCATGTCTATCATTTATTTTTAGATTTGATCTCTGCAATAACAGTTGGGTTCAAATTCCCAATGGGAATATACAACATATATTGCCACAGGTCGAAGACCCTGAGTCTCTTGTCTCTTTCATACAATTTAATATCCTTTTCTTTCTTTCTTTCTGTTTCAGGTTTAATATTGATTATACAACGCTTGAATTTTTCTAATTTACCATTCTATCATTTTCTCGGTCCTCACCCGACACTCGGGTTTCATTGCGGGCGCAGCTTCAACAAAGAATACCCTAAGAATTTCACTGACAGGCTTAGTATTGATTTACTGAATCCACTCTAGTTTCAACCGTATGGAACCTCTATCATCTGTACCCTTGCAACGCCGGATGAGTTGGTTCCGGATCATTAGCTCTTGCCCGAGGTCATTTGATATGGCAATGCCGAAGCAATATGCGGGGTAAATAATCTAGTTTACACTCATAGTGCTTTAAATTCTCACCCGAATGTTTTCAAATCGATCCAAAGAGCTATTGCCTCCAACCTTTGCGTAGTAATGTCGCCCCAGAGACCTGCATTTGATGCCCTACCCTTGCGCAAAGATGGACCTCCCGGGAATGCTTGGGGGATGTTTGGGGATCAAGATCAGATGGGCATGCTCAATCTATTGACGCCGGAGAATACCGCCGCAGCTGCTCGCGAAATTGTTGATGGAGTGCGTGTCTCAACAGATTGGGCTCTCAATAGCATGACCACCCCCTGCTTTGGACGATCTGCCTTAGAGCACATTATCAAGAACAAGGCTCCCCGAGCAGTCAACGATGATATCTTGGTTTTTAATACACAGAGTAGTAGCCAATGGGATGGCTTCAGGCATTATGGATCAAAACAAGGAACTTTCTTCAATGGGTGTACCCAGGAGGATATCCAGAATTCCACTCGAAACGGTATTCACGGTAATTCCATCTGCTTTTGAAGATTCCGATTTCCACTGATCCTCCCTCAGTATGGGTCGAAAACGGCGGGATTGTTGGACGAGGCGTTCTCTTGGACTATGCAGGCTGGGCAGCGGCGAACGGGAAAGAAATGAATTGCTTTGAAACCCAGTCAATCCCGGCTTCGGTACTCCAAGAGGTAGCTGTTAGTCAGAATACCACATTCCGACCGGGAGATATCCTGTTTATTCGGACGGGTTGGACTCGAGCCTACGAACAGCTGTCACGGGCGCAATGTCAGCAACTGGCCGACTATGCAGCACCTCCAGTGATTGGAGTAGAATCATCCGAGGCCATGCTGCGCTGGATTTGGGATCTTGAACTGGCCGCCGTGGTAGGAGATATGCCGAGCTTTGAAGCATATCCATGCCAGAATCAGTTGTTTTTTCTCCATGAGTGGTTGCTAGCGGGCTGGGGTGTCCCAATCGGGGAGTTATTCGATCTCGAGCAGCTCAGCCAGGAGTGTCGGAAGAGAGACCGCTGGACTTTTTTCTTCAGTAGCGTGCCATTGAAGGTGTGTGTGGACAAATTCCACTCCTATTTCCAACCTTGAAACTGACCACATTCATCAGGTTCCTGGTGGGGTTGCAAGCCCCCCGAATGGCGTGGCTATATTTTAATCAATTCTTTCGTCTTCTGTCTTTGCTTGTCGATTTTGACCATATTGTACAGTCTAGCTCTCTGGAGATGGCGCAGAATGTAAGTGGGGGTGGTGTGTCTAGGCAATGAGCCTCAAAGAAACGTGAAAGCCCGAGATATATCAGAAACCATCATTTCCTTTTTTACCTAGACACCTAGGTATCCATGCACAATGACTCAAATCAAGTAATCTAGGTAATTACCTTCCGTACCATGTATGGCCCTGGGGGTGTCGGGCCGAAAAGATAAGCGGAGAACCCGGGGCTTTCCGCCCCGGTCTGAGTTGTGTCATCTTACATGTACGTTTCACCGTGACCAGTCTACCTGTGCAGATCTAACCGATCTAAACACCTCTAAACACTTCTAAGATCTAGCCTAAAAGAAAAAAAAGAAAAAGAAAAAGGAATGGTTCTTGGAAATGCAGGCATCACGCGTCGGGCAGAAGATCGCTCAAGAAGGTCGATGGTAGCCTGTAACCGTTGCCGATCTAGAAAAACTCGCTGCGCCGGCAATCCACCCCACCCTTGCGCAGCATGCGTGGATGTGGGCAAGCATTGCGTATATTCAGAGGCTGAAAAGCGAGTCTCCATAACGGAAAGGTGAAGTCAGTCTAAGATCGTTGAAAAGAGTTAGGGCTGACTTGACTCTCGTTGCAGCTATTATCGTCAATTACAATCGCAAGCTCCTGCGTCACGAGGTAGGTTTCATACACACGTACCTAAATTATCATCTGGACGCTATTTAACCACATAGGACAGAAGGTAGTCATCCAACGCCGTCAAGTGAGCCATCGGTATCCAATCGCTACTCTAATGAGGGGCCATCAGAACGCGACGACTGGTGGTACAAAGGGACGGACAATCTATTCTTGAATCGGTCTGGAGAACATCGTGCGTGTTAAGCTAGAAGATAATTCGTTCCTATTATCTTTCTGCTAATCTTTCTTCAGATTTCGTGGGTGCCTCGTCCACCACACATCTCGCGAAACGGCTCAATCCCGGCTCCAAAAACCTTGCATGGGATGTGCGCCCACTTTATGATGACCCTTCATCATTAAGAAGACCGGTTGGTGGCTCATTGCCTCAATTACCACCTTTCGAGTTTGCCAAGCGACTCTTTTGGGTACAATACGCTTACATCGGTACAATCTTCTCCCTTATTCAACCCTTGGAGTTTGAAGAACGGCTCGATCTAGTCTATCACCAACCACTTAACTTTTCACATCGTGAATCTTGCCTAGTATATTGTCAGACACTGTTGGTTATTTCCTTTGGCTTGATGTACAGTGTGAACCAATGGATTGGCGAGGAAGGTCCTCCCGGCTTCAAGTATTTTAAGCATGCGTTACGTTTCTTGCCAGATATTCACGAAGAGGGCTCGATTCTATTCGTCGAGGTGCTATGCTATGTGGCATACTATATGCAGAATTTGAACAGGCGGGACGCAGCCTTCCTCTACGTATGTATTACTTCGATTAGCCTTCCGCTGTACCGCTAACGACGTTAGATCGGCCTTGCTCTGCGCATGGCTATCTCCCTAGGCCTACATCAAGAGGTGTCTGATCCCACAATAAGTGAATCCGATCGCAACCGTCGACGTCGGGCTTGGTGGTCTGTCTACAGCTTGGACCGGTAATTTGGCCACTTCTCTTAAATTTCAGAAAACAACACTCATACTTATGGATAGGCTACTCTCGGTCAAGTCTGGTAATCCTATCACGATTCAAGATGAAGACATTGGGATAACTTGGCCCACACCTGTGGTATGTTGCCTTCCACGGTATGTCTAGGTATTAGCTGATTTGATTTCTTCCATCTAGGGTGGATCAACCTTCGATCCATGGCCATCGACTGTTCTTACCCATTATACACAACTGTCCCGTATATTGGGGCGGATTGGGGAAGGTAAAAACCCTCCCTACTCTTTTGTCATATTGGCAAGCTGACCCAGATGGCGACATCAGAAATTTACAGAAAGAAACCTGGATCCGGATCCAACCTCGTTGCTTCTGTGCAGAGTATCACCAATGACCTTTCTGGCTGGCTGCGACGGGTCCCAGAACGGCTCCGCATCGATCTTACTACCCTCGATACCCATATCAACCGAGAGTCTGTCTCAATCAACTTGCACTTCTACTCATGTGTGAACATGACTGCACGCCCGTTGGTCTTCTATATCATTCAACGGCGACTTGATGCGGAAGCCCTTGGATCCGCAACGGAAGATTGGAAAGAAGGGCTGGCTCCCAATACTGTCGCCGTTATTGACAGCTGCATCACAGCCGCGCGAGCAACCACTGTGATCATGGATGCAGCTGCAAAACATAATCTCATTGGTACGCGATCGCAATACGACCCCATTTCTTCTGTCATGAAATCATCTGATTAAACGAACCTTTTAGCTACATATGGATACCTCGATGGTGAATATATCTTCTCCGCTGCACTTCTACTGGTCATGGTGAATGCCGCGTTTCCGCCTAATGAAACCAATGCCCGGGCCATGGAGACTGCACTGAACCTTCTTCGAGGTATGGCAGATCGGGGAAATACATATTTGGACTCGCGTCACTCACTACTGTTGGAATTACGGGCGGCCATTGGACCTAGCCCCGCCGAAGAAAAGGATACCGATATGACAAGTTCTCTTACTGCAGGCCAAAAGGGCCCTGTGACGCCAATGACCGAAAACGGTGGAAATACCTCGGACGATATTCCAGATCCGAGTGCAGAGTTAGCAGCTTCACAAGTGCTTAGTTATAACTGGCCACAACAGCCAGATCTCCCTTCTTTCCGGGATATTGCCTTTCAGTTCGATCTAAACGATGATCCGGCACTCTGGGAAGGGGCTTTAGATCAAATCGACATTGATATGGACACTGACTGGATCGAGAATACTTTAAAGCGATAAGAATAAATATATATATCACTTAAAAAATCATGCTACAGTTGTGTTGTGTGCTTTAGCTTAATATTTGATGCTTAGTACCTTGTGTTTATATAGGTTCCAAGACTGTACTACACGTAATTGATGCCTAAGGCTGATGTAAATCAGGATCAATTTCTCCACAGAATGCTATCATTATTATTCTTCTTATCGTTATTAGACCACATCTATGAGGCCCCTATCTTCCCCTCCATCCTCAATCTAAACCCCGCGGCTTATCAAGGTGTGGAGGTGTCGGCCCGAGGAAGCCGAAACGGGAGCCATCGGCCCGACACGTGACATACATCTAATGGGTTAACAGCGCGATGATCATTGGAGATGATTGGAAATGTGCTGGGATATCGGGACGAGCTTTGTGACATAAATGATTACGGTTCCCTTCTGACCATCTTCATCTGCTGTTCTTCCCTTTTCATTTCTTGAACCCACCTCACATCTTCCCCAGCTCACACTACGTCACAATGTCTGACTCAGGGAAGATCACCATCTCGATCGATCGTGGCGGCACATTTACTGATGTCCACGCGATTCAACCCGGTCGCCCCGACATTATCTTGAAGCTTCTCTCTGTCGATCCTTCTCACTATCAAGATGCCCCGACTGAGGGCATTCGTCAGATTTTAGAATTAACCACTGGGGAGTCACATCCCCGAGGCCAACCATTGAAACTCGACCGCATTGGTTGTCTACGCATGGGCACAACTGTTGCAACTAATGCTTTGCTCGAGCGCAAGGGCGCTCGTTCAGCACTCTTCACAACCAAAGGGTTTCGAGATTTATTGAAAATTGGGGACCAATCTCGCCCGGCCATTTTTGATCTATCAATGGCTCGTCCCGGAGTACTTCCGGAAAGTGTTGTCGAAGTCAATGAACGTGTGCTGTCCTGTCATCCTTCTGCTGACAGCGATTGCTTTTCCGATTGCCGGATGGTAGAGGGAATCACCGGCGAGAAATTCCGTGTTGTGCAAGAACTAGACCTCATTCAGGTGAAGACAGAGCTCCAACGACTGAAGGAACAAGGGATTTTATCGATCTCTGTAGCGCTATTGCATTCCTATGCATATCCTGAGCATGAGCGTCAAATCGGCGAGCTCGCACAAGAGATGGGATTCTCGGTCACCCTCTCTTCAAAACTTCAACCCATGATCAAGATTGTGCCTCGTGGCATGTCGGCCGCCGCCGATGCCTACCTTACACCTGTTATCAAGACATACATCGACTCCATATCTTCCAGCTTTGAAGGTGGACTGGAGAGTCAGCAAGACTGCCGATTCGAGTTTATGCAATCAGATGGTGGACTGGTCGATTTCCGCAAATTTAGCGGGCTAAAAGCGATTTTGTCCGGCCCCGCAGCTGGCGTGGTCGGCTTTGCAGCCACCAGCTGGGATCCGACTGAGAAGACACCCGTCATTGGCTTCGACATGGGTGGCACTAGCACAGATGTCTCTAGATTTGATGGTCACCTTGAACATGTATTTGCATCCAAGGTTGCAGGCGTGATGATCCAGTCCCCTCAGCTTGATATAAACACAGTCGCTGCTGGCGGTGGCTCCATTCTTACTTGGCGCAATGGCTTGTTCTATGTCGGGCCTGAGTCTGCAAGTGCTCATCCTGGTCCGGCATGCTATCGAAAGGGAGGCCCCCTCACAGTGACAGACGCCAATTTGTTCCTAGGCCGTCTTCTACCGGAGTACTTCCCGAAGATCTTCGGCCCGAATGAGGACGAAGCCCTGGACACAGAGACGACTGCCCGTCTGTTCAATGAACTCACGCAAAAAATCAACATTGAACGCCGACAGCAAGGCCAGTCAGAGTTTTCCCCAGAGGAAGTTGCCCTTGGTTTCCTTAATGTCGCAGATGAGTCTATGTCCCGACCAATCCGTAACCTCACAGAAGCTCGTGGCTTTGAGACCGCATCTCATCATTTGGCATGCTTTGGAGGTGCTGGTGGCCAGCACGCATGCTCAGTAGCCAAAACACTTGGAATCTCCCGTATCATCATTCACAAGTATTCTTCCGTTCTATCAGCGTACGGCCTTGCTTTGGCAGAGGTTGTCAAGGAGTCGCAGGAGCCTGTTTCATCCTCCTACCTATCTTCACAATCTACCCTTGTTCAACACCTCGACGACTTGTCAGCATCAGCAACCAAGGATATGGAATCCCAAGGCTTCCCTTCCACCCAAGTGCGCCACGAGCAATACTTGAACATGCGCTACGAAGGCTCCGACACCAGCCTGATGATCTTGAAGCCCGAGAGCTCGGCAGATTTCCTGGAAGAATTCCGTATTCGTCATCGTCGCGAATTCAACTTCAACTCTGACCGACCTGTGCTTGTTGATGACGTTCGAGTGCGAACTATCGCTTCATCCAAGGTTCGGACCGAGCAAAGTCCCTTGGTTCAACTGAAGGAAGCCAATATGCGGGATGTCGCGACAGCTCCGAACAACACTACTCCAGCCTACTTCGGCCATTCGAGTCGGATCGACACACCAGTTTACCTTCTAGGTGAATTGGAGAAAAATTCCCGCATTTATGGCCCGGCTGTCATCATTGACCAAACGCAAACAATTGTCGTGGCTCCCAACGCAGTGGCGAACCTGCTCGACACCTGCATTGTCATCGATCTCAATGACGAACCAACATCTTCCGGAGGTGCCTTGTCATCGGAAATTGACCCCATCAGACTTACTATCTTTGGACATCGCTTCATGTCCATCGCAGAGCAGATGGGTCGTACGCTACAGAAGACCTCCGTTTCCACTAACATCAAGGAGCGGCTGGATTTCTCTTGTGCTCTATTCTCCCCCGATGGAGGCTTGGTGGCCAATGCACCCCATGTTCCGGTTCATCTTGGATCGATGCAATTTGCTGTCCGTTATCAGCATGAGAAGTGGCTAGGCAACTTGAAGGATGGTGATGTTCTAGTGGCCAATCACCCCAGTTGCGGAGGCACTCATCTGCCCGATATTACAGTAAGTGATCTTCACATTAATACTCTCATCAAATACTAATATGTTCGTAGGTCATTACACCAGTATTTGACCGACCTGGTGGCTCCGAGATCATGTTTTATGTGGCTTCTCGTGGTCATCACGCTGATATTGGTGGTATCTTACCTGGGTCAATGCCTCCCAAATCCACTGAGTTGTGGCAAGAAGGCGCCGCCATCGAAGGTGATAAGATTGTTAGTGATGGTGTCTTGGATGAGGCACGTTTGATCGAGTTGCTGGTAACAAAGCCCTCGCAATACCCCGGCTGCGCTGGGGCACGCTGCCTCAGCGACAACTTGTCCGATCTGAAGGCACAGATTGCCGCCAACACTCGTGGAATCAGCTTGATCCAGACTCTGTTCAACGAATATGGAACCCAGACCGTGCAAAAGTACATGTATGCCATCCAGGAAACCGCCGAGTCTGCTGTGCGCAATCTTCTTAAGGAACTATATAAGAAGTTCAATGGCCAGCCATTGGAATCGGTCGACTACATGGATGATGGCACCCCCATTAGATTGAAGGTCACCATCAATGGTACGGATGGGTCAGCTGTCTTCGATTTCGAGGGCACAGGCCCTGAGGTGTATGGAAGCTGGAACGCCCCCATTGCTATTACTCACTCAGCCATCATCTACTGTCTGCGCTGCATGATTAATGCAGATGTGCCACTGAACCAGGGATGTCTGACGCCAATTGACATTCGTGTTCCATCATCTAGCATTTTATCGCCAAGCAAGGCCGCTGCTGTCGTTGGCGGTAATGTTGTGACCTCACAGCGCATCACTGACGTCGTGTTCAAAGCCTTCCAGGCTTGTGCTGCGTCTCAGGGCTGCTGTAACAACCTGACATTCGGTACAGACGCCCAGCTTGATCCGTCGACCGGTGCTGTCATCAAGCCTGGATTTGGATATTACGAGACTATCGCTGGTGGAAGTGGTGCTGGTCCTACTTGGAAGGGCGAGTCTGGTATACATGTTCACATGACCAACACGCGGATCACCGATCCTGAAATCCTGGAAAAGCGCTATCCGACGATGCTCCGCCAGTTCACCCTCCGCGAGGGTTCTGGCGGCCAGGGCAAGAACCCTGGCGGCGAGGGAGTGATTCGCGACATCGAATTCCTTTCACCAATTCAATGTTCGATTCTGTCTGAGCGCCGTGTCCATCGACCTTACGGACTCGAAGGTGGCCAGGATGCACAGGCCGGATTCAACCTGTGGATCACGCGGGATCCGGACACTGGCAATGAGCGCCGTATCAACATCGGCGGCAAAAACACTGTCTCAATGAAGACGCACGACCGGGTTGTGATCAACACTCCCGGCGGTGGTGGCTGGGGTGCTTTATGAATGGTTTGTATAGCGAGCATGACATTTCTAATATATCAATCTCAATTAAATACATAGGTAAGGATAATACAGTGGGCCTTTTTGGCCTCATGAATACATTCACAGGGCTCCTTTTCACAACTTCGACTTTCCAAACACTGGTCGCCACATTTCGTTCGATAGCCGGCTGGTGTTTACCATATCTGGCGAAAGTTGGTCTAGAGAAGAGACTCCAAGCATCTTCATGGTGATTTCAAGTTCTTCGGTGATGACTGCGAATGAGTTAGCTTGGGATTGACCAGGATACTAGCCCCGACTTACTATCTGTACATCTTTCCACTCCTTCAGCGCCGTATGCTGCGAGGGCATAGTAGTAAGGACGGCCCACTCCAACCGCGGTAGCTCCAAGACACAACGCCTTAAGGACATCTGCCCCGTCGCGAAGACCTCCGTCAACAAACACCTGGAGCTTATCGAATGCCTCCGGGTAGTATGTGCGAATTTCCAGGAGCGTCATCAATGAGCTTGGGGCAGAATGAATCTGCCTGCCTCCATGGTTGCTCAATAGAACTCCCTGCACACCATGTTGGACAGCCAGCTTCACGTCCTCTACGCTTTGAATTCCCTTGAGAACCAGTGGTCC